ACAAAATGGCTAGATCAAATTACAGAAAATTGTCGATCTTTCTCTTTGTATAACTTCGTCCGTTTGTTTCCACAAGCTATGATATGTCAAAATTTCGATTCTACGCCCTCAAATTACCTAGAAAAACAACTTTTGGAATAGAAATAGAAATTGGAATAGAAATTGGTTAATATTAGCATTTTAGAGCTTTTTAAAACGCGAAAAAAGGTGCGCTAATGGGCAAGGTGCGGAAAAAAGGTGCGCAAATGTCCGGGTGCGCAAAAAAAAGGTCGCATTTGTCCCACTCCCCTATCTAGAGATGAAATTTGTAGCAAAAATCAGCAAAAATAAAGCTAAATCTAATGCAGAAATTCGATTTAGGCACTTTTTGACTTTTTTTGTAAATGGAAAGAAGATATTTGACTGTGAATTTGTATTTAGGGTTTTCAGGGTCGGTAAATCGATTGGAGCTATTCATTTTATCGAATCTACCAATCTGTGGCATTATTTGAAGGCCTTCATGTACAAAAGTACAAAATCCTTAATGTACAAAATGCTTAATGTACAAAAAATGGTACGAGCCTGGATCTATTTTGACCCTAAAATTAGGAGTGAGCAGAGCCATGAGCATTCCTGATTCTAATGCTACATGATAAAGCAGCCGATCACATGATAAAGCAGCCGATCAAACGTACCCAAATCAAAAGGTGAATCTAGCATTTCCCTAGAGGGAAAATTTGAAAAAGAATGTAAAAAAGGGCAATGAATTAAGAATGAAACGACGAAAAAAACGACTAATCACAGAAAAGGATCCAATATAAACGCAGAACAATGAGAATATTCATTGAGAATGGCTAAAGGGCTAAATGGCTAAAGGCAATCAAAAGACTTCAGTGAAATCATTGATGCAATGTTTTTGCAATGTTTTGCAATGCAAGTTATTCCAATTTACGACACCCACCACCAGCACTTTCTCTTTCCTTTTCGGTGAATGGTTGTCGTTGAATGTGAAAGGAAAGAATCTAGAAAAAGATAGCCATTATGGGGGAAAAGGGTTCAAAAGTGAAACCATATGAAAATGATGGAATTGGAAAGGAAATCTCATGATTGTGGGAGATTTTATACGCGCCCCGCCCCTTTGCCATTGGCAATCTAACTTTGAGCTCAAATTTCTTGGTGTTGAGCTGTCCAATTTAAATGTTTTTTTGCACCAATCGACAGAGAAAGACTTGGCGCATCTAATGATACCAAGAATATTTAAATTGGACAGCTCAACGCAAAGATATTGGAGCTCAAAGTTAGATTGCCAATGGCAAAACTTTGAACTCGAATATCTTGGTGTTGAGCTGTTCAATTTAAATATTTTTTTGCACCAATCGACAGAGAAAGACTTGGCGCATCTAATGATACCAAGAATATTTCAATTGGACAGCTCAACGCAAAAGATATTGAGCTCAAAGTTAGATTGCCAATGGCAAAAGGGGCAGGGCACGTATCAAATGTCCGATAATCAAATCTCAATGAGAAATGGTTAAGTAGACAACCAAAATACAAAATAAGACATTACTTTGCAATCGATCTAACTTTTCAGAGGCTTTTTATTGGAATCGAATGCCAGTACCGTAATATAATACACCAGTAGTCGATATTTCAATGAAATTTGAGTATTTTAAGTTATCAGCAAATTTCTATTAGAAAAATTGGGTAGTGAAATGTAAACTTAAGCCTTAAGTTTATAAGCAGGTCCTTTGTTGGAATGGAATACTTAAAGTCTTGGAAAATTAGGGTTTAAGAATTTGAAACGGTTGATTTAGCAAAAGTTTCTATTTTGAAAATTTTTATTTTTTACAGTATGCCTATTTTTCGTGTTTTTTAGGTTTTAAGACATGCTCTTTCTAATAGAAAAAGATTAATAGTTGTAGCGGTGATCAAAATGCAAAATTCGCGATTTTAGAGGGTGCGTTTAAGAATTTGAAACGCACTGTACTTGAAGTCTTGGAAAATTAGGGTTTTAAGCTTTTATTTTAAGCAAGTTTAGGTGAAAGAGTGGTACAAAGGTAAATCTTTTTCCATACAAATTTCTATCCATGGAATAGAATTTCTATCCTACCAGGCTTGAACCTGGTTTCTGCTTTGACTTTACTACAGATCTAAACTTCACGAAGTGCCTGGTTCAACCAGAAGTCAAGCCTAGCTTTTGATCTGTGGTTTGGCCTGATCTGGCTTACAAACCATAAGATTACAAACCAAGATCCAGTTCGAACGTCTAAGTCAGTTCTTTCCCTGAAAGACATCCAAGCAAAAGATTATGCATATCTAGATGAATGCAGGATGATCAGCGAAAGTTCTACCACCAAAAAAATCGCTCCTCCAATGCATATTGACCTGATTTGTGGAGAAGAAAAAGAAGGTAAAAGAAGGAAAAAGAAAGGCATGAAAATGGTCGTTTTGGTGTGAGTCAAGCTGTGTATCGGAAAAAGAAAAAAAGGAAAAAATGAGGGAAAAGAGTGACAAAACTCATCCAAATCCCCCGTTTTTTCGTCTGATGCTAAAGGTTATGGGATCCGGGTCAGAAGGATTCATTTTTTGGAGGCTAAAACGTAGGGGAGTAAATCCAGCGAAAGTTGGAATAGCACTTCAAATCGGGAGTTGAAAAAACTTTTCCTAGTAGGGCAGAAAATGGAGCAGTTTTACCACGCTTTAAAGCGTTAACCCAGGATTTTCTCGGAAAAAGGGTGGCAAGTGTTAGAAGTTCTAAAACTAAAACTAGAAATTCTAAAACTTCTAACACAATTCTAACTGAGAACATCTATCGAATCAAGATCTTATCGGTAGTACTTGAAGCCCGATAGTAAAATGATCTGACCGTGTCGGAGTAAATTCTATGAGAAGGTGTGATTGAAAGTCAACGTTTAGCTGATGTCTTAAAATCTGCAAAACTAAAAATACGGTCACGAAGACTCACTCACTCCCCAAGTATCCGGTGTACACGTAGGGTTTTTTGGGAGGGGAAGATGCAACGCATTCAATCCAAACATGGAAAGAAGAGAAAGCCGGAAAGTTGGAAAGGGAGAGGGGGATTGTTGTCAGTTCCCCTCCACTTACCCGGTTCCACTTCGTTACCCCTTCAATGTACCGATGGAAAGTAGGGAAAACGATATAGGGCTACGATAGAATAAAGAAATGAATGGCAAAGAGTTTGGAAAAGGGGGATCGAATCCTCAGCCTTCTGCTGACCACCATTTGATGCTCTACCACTGAGCTACCGGGGCCTTCTTTGCCCAAGAAGAAATAGGAAAGATAAGGAAGAAGAAAGGAGGGAAGCAGAAAGGAAGGAAGCAGAAAGGAAGGAAGAAGAAAGGAAGGAAGAAAAAAGGAAGGAAGGAAGGAAGAAAGAGAGGGAAATACCTGAAGATAAATCATATTTAAACCTGATACTTTAGATTTTAGATTAGAAGATAGAAGCTTTTTTCCTAAAGTCTATCAAGATCTAGACAGCGGAAGCGTTCTGTTACAGACTTGTCAATCAATTTAGTGCCAAATAAAAACCACAAATAAGCTGAATATTCTAGTATTTACACCTACCTTCATTCATTTTTTATTATGAATTAACTTTTATCAATAAATAAGTCTAATTACAGGTTAACAGTCTATCAAGATCAAGATCTAGACAGATCTAGTTGACGTTAGCTAGCTGGCAGAACAAAAAGGGAGGGCTAGTTACACTCAAGAGATAAAGCTTTGAAGATTTAGTTATGCAAATCACAAAACTCTTATTCTATTACATACTGAAGAGAATATCGTAGCAATAGAGGACACTCATGGACAAAGCGCTTCCTAAAACGTCTTTTTCTAAAAATTAAAATGTGTCCTCTTTTATCCAATCTATCTATTTTAAGTCTACTTTCTCCTGGCTGGGCTTAGCTTGGCTGGGCTTAGCTTAGCTTAGCTTAGCTTAGCTTGGCTTGGCTTAGCTTAGCTTGGCTTGGTTATCCCTATTCTAAAGCAATCCGTTTTCTAAAACGTGTCGTAAACTACCGTAATCTCGTCTCTATTTTTATCCAATCTATCTGCTTTTGCATCTTTCGATATCCTTCACGAATCCTCACAGAATAAGTCCAAGCAGCAATCTTTCTACTAAAGACAAGATTACAGTAATCAAAAAAGCTAACACTTTTTAAAAAGCTCATTAGTCAAAAGGAGTAGGGTAATACATGTAGTTCCTTTAGAAAAGTACACGTAAAGTGTTAAGAGAATCGAAAAATCGGGGAAGTGGGGCTGAGGGGGGACTCCCGATTGGTGTCAGTTCCCCGCCGGTCCCATCCCCCTTCAATGTGGGTCTCCCTAATGTTTGTGGTGTGCATTTCACGCATCCCCCCCCCACCCGCGTGTGTCGATAGATTGAGAGAAAGACGACCAACACATACAGTCTCTCTTTTCACTCCACAATCAAAAACTTAAAGTGAGACACCAACCTTTCACCCCTTTTCCCCCATCCGTTGTTGTGTACTATTTGAACAGAAGCCGGCTCTTCTTCAAACTCTGATGTACTCGGAAAGTGAGAAGACTGTTGATAGATCAAGTAAATAACTGAAATCAGCAGCACACTCTTGAAGAATCCATTCAACATATCAAAGAGAACTCGCGGGTGAAAATATAGTTTTGGAAATAGGTATCTATAGGGAATACACTGGTATTTAAATATAGTACAATCCTGTGCCCTATTTACAGTAATCTCAAATCCTTCAGCTACAGTACCCCAAGCGAATACGAAAATTTACATATGGACAACTCTTCCTCATGAGTATTTTCCCACGCTGATAAAACCCGATTTGTCTTACAAGGTCCATAAAGGTGTGGTGTGTTTGATTTGATGCTTCATTCTTTTTTCGGCACTCTTTCTAGACACTAGATAAATTACTAGATAAACACTAGATAAATTTATTATAGAACATACGATAACACTTTATTAAGACATGAAGAACATCACACCATTAAAAATATCCTTTCTTTTCTTTCTATTCGTTCCTCTCGTATTCTTTAGGCATTTGTATCGGTGTTGACGTCGGCATTGGCCGAACTACTCGTTTTGATCCATTTGATTGGGTATTCTCGGTCTAAACAATTTATTAAAATAGATAATTAGTGCACACTTCAAACTTACTTTGACATTGTGCAGTTCTTGGCCTTTCTTTGTAAACGTCGATGTGGCAGACGGATTTCTAAAAACAAAACAACTTTATCTAAGAAATATGGATAAACCTGATGCTATTTAGGATTTGGTTTAGATGAGCGAACCAGTAGTACATGTAGGCGAACCATAGAATTTGTAGACCCACTTGTAACCAGATAACGATCAAAGGAACCATGGATTCTAAACAGAAAAATCTCTTCGCATCAACTCATGTAGAAAATAGCTCTTGAAAAACTTACGATTGCATCCTCGAAACAAAAAGTTGAATACCACCACAATCATCAGAAGATCGGTTGTTATAGTAGCGAGCTAAAATTAACTAAAGTATATACATAGACCCAAAGGAAATTTAAACAAACCTGGATAGTCAGGGTCAGTGTGAAAGAATTCTTCGTACGACGAATCACAAAGAAGTTCGTAGTCACAAACCAAAATCGCAGAATCAATAACAAAGTCTGAGCCAACAAGAAATCTTTAGCTACCCAACCTGTAGAATTCCAAAAATGGTTCGGAACACGCAAAATACAAGGAACCAAGTGTCAAGTCCACCGCAAACTTTTTTGACGAGATCTTCGGGTGGTATGAGTGCTAAAAAGAATAATTTCCAACTAATGCAATAACCAACTTTTGGGGTAGACGGAGTTGGCCCATCGAATCAGCAGGGTTAAGTAGATTGAAAAATTGACTGTCAGGAACAACAAAGGAGGGAAGATCGAATAGACGAGCGGTTTCGAGGTGACAGCTAAACATATACTTTATGCAATAAACTAATTATTAATAAACTATTAAGTTTTACTGAAAAATAGTCTTTAGTTTCAACAAAAGGCACCATTTCTAAACGAAAAAAGTGTAAAACTAACGTCTCTTTTTGACGAAAGTTTCTCCTTTTGAAGCTTCGGGTGAGTCAACTCTAAAAGAGAAAATATGAATTGAATAAGTGTAAGTAATACTTGGATTGGCTAATCATGCGCTCTTTCGATTGGCTTCGCTCTTGCGGCAGCTCCTTGGCGAGAATCGATCGGCGACTACTAACGGCGATCATGACGGTACTAAACATCAAAAATAAGTAGCATCAATAAAGTTTAGGGGACTAGTTGGCTTAGATCAGATTATGCGTTTTGTATTTTTTGGTGATCTAACATGCTGAATAAATATGAGTTTCGCATGGGGTTTGCGTGATGCCAGGCATAAGTAAACTCAATAAACCATTAATAAAAGCTATCCAAAACGACCCAAAGGTATTACCAATTGATTCACTGCGGAAAGACACCAAACTCACCTTAAAATAATGTTCCGTAAATCTCTTAGCACTTTTACTTTAGGCTAAAGTCGCACCAAACAGACACGTAAACGAAAAATTCAAAAGATTTTTAAAAACTCACCAATCACGGCGTTAAACGAGAGAAGAAATGACTCGAGGAATGAGGAAAATTTTTTGCACTGGTTTTATAAATGCAAATTTATGCATACGCAGTTTATCAGCTGAATATTTCGACTCTCAAAAAATCGAGGGATTAAGAGCTGCTAGCAAAAGCGTCAAATTATTTGCGTCAAATTTGCGCTTGCCAACACACTTTCCTACCAACTCTGATTGACCATTTATATTTTTTTCAGTTTTTCCTCGTCGACGATGCTCGCTATTTTACTGCCTTCACCGGCTATGAAAATGGCATAATATCGATATAGAAAATAAAAAGCCTAATCCGGGACACAAAAAAGGACTGTTTTTTGGGGGCTATATAGGTATTTAAACGTGTTGTCTAATTGAAAATACTAAGAACTAAAATTGTGAAGAGGAAAACTGAAAAAAGTTGGTTAGAAGTTGGGAAAAAGCGATTTGTTACAATGATTTTCATAAGCGTAAATTTGGCGCAAATGATACGCGGCGCAAAATTTTTTGGCGCAAATGAAATTACTTTTGCTAGCACCTCAGAATTTCATGCTATAAATAAATAGTTTTCGAGCCAAAGATTTTCATTTGTGTGTTTCTCTTTCAAAGGTTTTCTTTTATATACCAGCTATTTCCGGGCATCCAATCAAAAAGTCACCCACATAAAAAATGTTCATAATACATATATTTTATAATAAATTTTTGAAATTAGCTCATTTGGTTCAGTAGAAAAAAAATTTTTTTGAGTTCCCAAAGTTTAGGTTCATAAATGCCCTAAAATGGCTATAAAAAATTTTCTACTCAGCCAAAAAACTTGCCTAATAGCTCATTTTGTAGCCAATTTGATGTAGTTTCTTAAAGTAAAGCCATCTAAAACAATTTTTCGTTGAAAGTAGGAGAAAGAGGGCGAGGAACAAATTCAGGGCAATTCTCAAATGTGAAAACAGCGACCTAGTTCAACTGAAGTCGTTCCTCGCCCTCTTTCTCCTAGCTTTGAAAAACAAATGTTCAATGTAGCTTTACTTTACGAAACTACATCAAATTGGCTACAAAATGAGCTATTAGGCAAGTTTTTTGGCTGAGTAGAAAATTTTTTATAGCCATTTTAGGGCATTTTTGAACCTAAACTTTGGGGGCTCAAAAAAAATTTTCTACTGAACCAAATGAGCTAATTTCAAAAATTTATTATAAAATATATGTATTATGAACATTTTTTATGTGGGTGACTTTTTGATTGGATGCCCGGAAATACCCTCATTCGTTAGCGGCTGAATTTCGTAAACGGCTACGACATATATATGTTATGTCCTATTTAGATTTTCGTCCGATTTAGACTCAATCTAAATCGGACGTCTGATTTAGACTCAGCTGTTGTTTTATGTTTTACAGAAGTTTTCAGAATTTTTTTATTGGTTGTGAATTGCAAATAAGTTTATTTTTAGAACAAACAACAAAAGATGCAAAAACAACAAAATTGAACAATACATAATCAACTTAAATTAGACTGCAACAACTGCTAATTTTTGTACAATGTTTTAAAAACGAACTTTGATATCCCGTAGTAAATCCTAAGATGTTGCCACATCAATCCAATGCCAGCATGACCGAGGTTTCGGTGTGTTTGCTGAAGGATTTCATAAAGTTCTTCTTGATTCTTCAAAATCTAAATCGGACGTCTGTTTTAGATTGAGTCTAAATCGGACATAACATATATATTGGAATTGTTAGGCACCTGTAATGTAAATTTTTCTAACGTTTTATTAACTTTTTTATCCAAGAGCAATGTGATCCTAGTATTTATTAAAGTGGGTAGATTTCTTTAGTTAAAGCCTTGGTTGCTTTAGTTTTTTTGGCCTCCTATATTCTTGTGAGCTCTTTAACTCTTTCCCCTCTCAACTCTCTTTCTCTTTGTGTATTTAGTTCTGAGTGCAAAGGAGCGTCTCGTTGCATAGCGTAAATTTTTGAATTTCACCATTTACCCCTTGTTTTTTTATGAATTCTACGTGATTTAAAGTTAAATTTTTAGAATGATCAAGCGAGAAGACATACTGAAAAATCTGCAGCGGGACAGAGACGCGGAAAAAGAAATGGAGAAGCTAAGGTTGGCGCTAACAATAATATTAGGAAAGTCGATTTTTTTATATGGGCAACTACAACTTTTTAATACAATGATGAAGCCAATTTCCATGCTGAAGCCAAACTTAATGCTTTTTTTCTTTTAGAGCCTCGGGAGTCATGAACAGCATTCAACTAGAACAAGAGGAACAAGAACACGCGAAAAAGCACGAGAAAGCGATCAGTTTTACAGATTTGTCGGTTAGTTATCTAATTATTTGATTTGTCTTATAGTAGTCTTATAGGACAGGAATTCTAAAGCTTTTATGTTTAGAAGCAAATCCTCAACGACTTTGAAACCACAAAGTACGAGATGGGCTCCGTATTAGGATCCAATTCCGATTGTAAGTTTAGAACTTTGACATTTTCTGTTCAATTTCAATGTTCAAGTTCAATTTTCTGTTTTAGATCATGCTATAATTGAGGAAGGTGATATCTCGAGGTTATTCGGGGAACTAAACGCTTTTGAGGTAAATTTGTTGCGTTTGCCAAGTGATTAGCATGTTTAGCTTTCTTTGATGGGTAGTTCGTCGGTTCCATTAGCAAGTTTCCACAAGAAAGCGGTCAACGATTTAGCGTTTGACGATGACGTTCTTGGACCACAAATCACACTCGACGATGTAAGTTATCGGTTTACCAACTTTCTATTTTCAATTCAGTGTCTCGCATGGTTTTCAAGAGCAGGCGGATGTAAAATTCACGATTTATTGCCACCGGCAGAGATATTTCCAAACGCCGAGAAGTGAGTGAATTTAAAAAGGTTATTTAAGTTTTAATTTAGGTATTCGAAGAAGCTGGAGCAATATGGACTGCCAATAATATCGGAACGGAAAGAAGTCGAGAAAACGATCATCTTGCAGGTTTAGGCGGAAGAGTTGATAACATTATCGTTGTTTTAGATGACACGCGTTCTTGAGTTTATCAGAAAAATGTGCCTCTCTTCACTATCAATTGAGCATATAGCGATGCTACTTTTTGTCTTGCTTCGAATCTCCATCGATCGTCTAGCCGAGTACAGGATTCGCACTGGGATCTTCCATGTTTTGACAAAGGTATTAGGTGTGTGAAAAAGTAATCCACGTTTTTAACGTTTATGCGGCATCCATTTGTCCAACTTTTTGATAAAATTCCTGGCATTCAAGCGTTTCCTTATGGTTGACCCATCACAATTTAATGTAAAGCCTATTTCTGAAGAGGTTGGACGAGGGTTTTCGAGAAGACAGTGTCTTATTTGGTCATTTGAACAGGTCTCAGGGCGACCGCCACGTGGTTCATCTTCTAGGCTTTCATTACCACCTTTGAATCGTTGGAACCAAAACCTAGCGGTATCATCAGTAACGGCGTCTTCGCCAAACGCATTCCGAATTCGACGTGCAGCCTCCGCAGCTTTCAACCCATTTTTGAACTCATAAAGCAAATTTGACCGAATGACGATACTTGTGTATACCATTTTCAAACTAAAATGAAAGTAGTTTATTGTCGTCCTTTTAACAAAATGAATATATCATTCGAAAGAGGAAAAAATAATTAAACGATATATATATCGTTAACAAAAAATTAAAAATTGTTTAGATATATTTATTTAAACAAAATAAAAATAAAAAACGTGGATTATTTTTTCACACACCTAATAGATTTCTTTTGCGCCTTTTGGACGAATGGAATTTAGATTTTTAATTGTGAAGCGGCTCGGCAACGAAAAATCATCGCCGAATTTTCAGCAATCTCTTTGCATCTCTGCGAAGATATGGTGACTCTTCAGTGAGTCGATCAATCTAAATCCTAACTATATCATTTTAGATCGGCGATCGAAAATTTGCAATACGTCGTCTGTGGTTGTACTGGAATTTTACCAGTTCTCACTTCACTCTTGGTCTCAAAAACAGAAAATGACAGTTTGGCCGTTGGAGATCTTTCGGTTTGTAATTAGTAATTTTATTTTCAATTTACAAATCATATTTTAGAGTCGACCAAAGGCGACTTATCTCCGCGAGCATCTCCGTGTAGTAAAAAGGATTATTCCCCAGATTGCTGAAGTTCTGGTGAGTTTGATCTTTTTCTTTTATTCTTTTTTTTTTGTTTAGAGTATTCGTGAAGCTTACGCCATCTTTTGTATGCTCGACAACTCGATTTGTAGCTGCGTCGTCAAGGAACTACAACCGGACGTATTGGATCGACTTATACAAGCAATTAAAGAGGGCGGGCAAGCCATTGTAAGGATTAAAATGAAATTTTGTTGTTGTTGTTGAAATTTTTTGTTAAGTTACTGATTTCTCTACTTTCAGAAGGCCGCGAATGACGGATCACTTGAAGAAACGGTAATGAAAGGACTCATCGAGATACGTGTCGCTGCAATGATTAACAAGATTCGTTTTGAAAGACCACAGTAGTTGCAGACCACAGTAGTAGTTGCAAGCATGATACATCTAAGTTAATTGATTTATTTACGTTTGTTTTTTCTACTTTTCGTTATTCACTTATGTTATAGGTTCATAATGTTTTGTCGAGCTTATCAGGTGTTGAGATTCGGGTATTTTGAGTAAATTTAGCAATAAATTGTCTGGCTTTGAGTTTCCTGATAACGATTCGGAGCATAATTAGACGAAAATGTGATAAAAGTAGTACTATTTTAAAAGCTACGATAAAAATCGTAGAGCTACGATAAAAAATCGTAGCTTGAAACGCAAATTTATGACAATTTTTCGTGTGAGGAACGTCGATTTCTATTCCGGGCAAAGACGAAAAGAAGTTATGTCTCGAGTAGACCTGAAAGGTGCTCTTTTTTTACTTTTCCTCCCTTTTCGCTCCATTGCCTCCTTGAAAGAAATAATAAGAAGAGCTGGTTCTGCAGGGGTTTTTCTCATCTTCTTCCTCACATTCTCGTCACTTTTTTTCTGAGAGCGGCTTCCTCAAAAGCCCTACCATTACCGCATTCAAGCTTACGTGCTCTGGGAATGATTGCTAATTGTAAGTTTAGGTATTACAAAGATTTGGCACTATGATAGTATCAATCTTGCTATAAATACCGTAAGCAATAAACAAAACACTGCAAATGATTTGAACTTGCTATAACTACCGCCAATTTACATTAAATCAACCCAATTTTGGCATTATTGACTGAGCTTTGTGATTTCTCATCAAATGATTCCAAAACTGGGCTGATCGCATGTAAATTAGCATCTCGATTAAAGTAGTTTTTCTAAAAGAGTTGTCGTTTAGAAAACGGATTTTAGTCAAGGGGAAAAAGTAGAGAAGAAATGAGGAAAAAAGGAAAAAATGTGATTTTCGAGAGGATTTTCATGTTAAATTTGAATTTCTGTCGCAAATTTTAAATGTTAATTTTTGCGCGACGTCGCATTCCAATTGACGTCACCACCATTTGGAGGCAGTCGATGGGAGCGCCGCGTCGTCGTTTCTTTTTCATTTTCAAATCATTTGCAGTGTTTTGTTTTTGATCAAATTAGTTGAAAGTATTGTTTTATTGTTTTTTTTGTGTTGAAATGAGAAATCAATCTATTTCCATTTGAGAGTGGAGTATCCGGAACTTTTCGTAGACCACAATGAAGGCCAAAACTGTTAAAATGGTTTGCGGAGTTGAATGGAAACAACGAAAGCAAGGCTCATCTTCTGGACCATTACAAAAGTAACGGTTTAACTAGTAAAGGGCTTCAATATTTTTCCTAGATTAGTTCCCAAGCGCCAAGTTCAACTCTAATGTGTTAAGTTTTATTTAAAATATTGAAGCTCTTAATCTTGGCTACATTTATCTATTAAAAGTTTCCCGTTTGGAGATATGCAACCCATTTTACAAGCTCTTGAATGAGTACTAAATGAAATGTTAATTTTTGCGCGACGTCGCATTCCAATTGACGTCACCGCCATTTGGAGGCAGTCAATGGGAGCGCCGCGTCGTCGTTTCTTTTTCATTTTCAAATCATTTGCAGTGTTTTGTTTTTGATCAAATTAATTGAAAGTATTGTTTTATTGTTTTTTTTGTGTTGAAATGAGAAATCAATCTATTTCCATTTGAGAGTGGAGAATCCGGAACTTTTCGTAGCACAATGAAGGCCAAAACTGTTAAAATGGTTTGCGGAGTTGAATGGAAACAACGAAAGCAAGGCTCATCTTCTGGACCGTTACAAAAGTTACAAAAGTGTTTTGTTTTTCGTTTATTTTTGGTTTTTTTTTTGTTTTTTGTCAGATTAATTGAAAGTATTGTTTTACGCGTTAAATTTTGTGTTAAAATGAGAGCAATCTATGCAAGATCAACTTTTCAATGATTGATTGCACAATCTCTTCAAACTAACTACTTTGCGTTAACATTTTCAAGAATCTTATCGAAGTCTTGGCAAAAGCATCTTTGTAGAAGTGAAACGAAGCTGCGGACAGCCAACCAAAGTAGTTAGTTAGCATGAGAGCAATCTATTTCCATTTGGGAGCCGAGTGGAGAATCCGAAACTTAGTAACTCGTAACGTAAAGTAACCGGACCACAATGAAGGCCAAAACTAACTGTAAGATGGTTTGGAGAGTTGAATGGAAACAACGAAAGCAAGGCTCATCTGCACCGTTACAAAACTAAAGCACTTGTAACTGAACCTAAGTTTAGCAAAAAGCCATCTTACATGGATTCGATCAAAATTTGACATCGAATTGATGTACGAGCAGTTAAAAAACCATTTTTTGTGGTACTAGTAAAAGTGATAAACGACCCGGTTCGGGGTGAGTGGAGGGGAAAGCACAAAAGGGATGACACTGCGGGGATGCAATGAAGGAAATCTAGGTCATTCACTCGTATTTCGTTCTCCTCTTTGCCTTGAATCTCTCCTTTTCCGTATCCCCAGCCCAGACTTACACCTTCCCCTCCTTGTTCCACACATTTCTGTGTGACCGTGAAACTTCCATCCTAGCTCTTGCACTCGTTTTCTCTTCTCGAGAACTCATTTGTCCTATTTCTCCTCCCGTCTCATAGTAAAAACCTTGATCCTTTTATGGACACATATTTTGTATGGTTTTCGATTTAATAAGCTTTAGTACAATCAAGTTGATATTGACAATAGAAGCTAGAATTCAAATCATTGTAGATCTCGTTCCTGAATGCCTGATTCGCTTGGTGCCAAATCGCTTGGTTGACAAGGTTTCAACGGTTCAGTTTTACTTTCCTTTCCTATTTATGTAATTTTCTCAAAGCCCAAATGTGCTGCCATAGCTCACTCGGTTAGAGCATTGGTCTAATAGCTAATGATCGCAGGATCGACCCCTGCTGTAACGGTGGAAAAAAAACAAAAACTTTTGCCGCCAGCAGGGGTCGAACCTGCGGCCTTTGGCTTATTAGACCAATGCTCTAACCGACTGAGCTATGGCGGCACCTTTTCCGGACAGCAATTTATCCCTTTTAGCTAAAAGCCGTCAATTTTCGCACTCGTCCAGAAAATTCAGAAACTAGATTCACAACTGTAAGGTAAAAGCGATAAATTGCTGCCGAGAGCCAGTGCCGCCATAGCTCAGTCGGTTAGAGCATTGGTCTAATAAGCCAAAGGCCGCAGGTTCGACCCCTGCTGGCGGCAAAGCATTTTGTTTTTAAAGTCTTTACTGGTATTCAATATTTCTCTACTTTGAAAAACTCACAAGTTATTCGCCCGGCAAAATTTTCGTAATTTTCCTACCTATATAGGTCTCTGACCTGGCTGATAGTTTGAAGCATTCTTGACTTCGGTGTTCTCTAGGAACAGTGAAGTCTCTTCACTAGGAAATCAGTTTAAGTCAGTCAGTCCTGACTTTCTTCTACAAACTCATTTCCTTAATTCACTAATGATTTAAAGACAAAATTCAGAAATCAATCCGCCAATCATAATCAATCCACCGATCGTTCTTCATTCCATCGCTCAATTCAAATGCAAATTCGCTTCTCTGACGCCCAAACGGTGATATGATCGGCTTCGGGTGTTTGGAGCGGCCACTGGCCAACTTTTTCTACAACTATGGGAGCTTCGTCTCGCGCAATCCCTACCCATTCATCGCTGGCCCGATTTTGTTAACTTTGGCTTTATCCGTTGGATTCTTTCATTTAGAAATTGAACAAGGTGAGTCTCAAAAAGAATTCAAAAAGAACAGCAATTCCTAAAAAACTTTAAAACAGTACTTGCAGTACTGGGTTTTTAGTTTGGCCTTAAAAGTATATAAATCTTGGGATTTTTCCCAGAAAAGAAAGCGATTTTAAGAAAGCGAGCGAATTTTAAAGCTCTTTTTTTTCTAGATGCCATTTATCTTTTCACCCCAACCGATGCGCCATCGAAAACCGAAAGACAAATCATTCACGAATTGTGGCCGGTTCATGAGAATAATTTCGTGCCAGGAAGGGGTGTGGTCACAAGTCGCGAGGCTCAGGTTCAGTTTTTGAAGTTAGAGTGTATTCTTCTACGAATCAAATCACTTCACTAGCCGCTTTCTATGAGCTTTTGTGATTCAGATTTTCTGTTGTTGTAAAGTTTAGTTAGTTACCGTAATATCTGCTTATCGGGTATTAGTATCAGGGCTATTCTAAAGAGCCAAGCGAAAGTCAAGCCAAAGCTAAGCCAAAGCCAAGCTAAAGCTAAGCCAAAGTAAGCCAAAGCTAAGCCAAGCCAAACCAAAGCTAAGCCAAAGCCAAACCAAAGCCAAACCAAAGCCAAACCAAAGCCAAACCAAAGCCAAACCAAAGCCAAACCAAAGCCAAACCAAAGCTTTGCCAAAGCCAAAGCCAAAGCCAAGCCAAAGCTAAGCCAAAGCTAAGCTAAAGCCAAGCCAAAGCTAAACCAAACATTTTGTTTATCTATCATTGTTATCTGTTACTGGTTTGACCAGACAAATGTCCATCTAGTAAGGCTAAATAGAGGCAAATTTAGTTGAATTTTATCCACAAGTACGCACTCAAATATAATAAAGGTCTTACGGTACATAAGGATTGATTTAGATAACGGTTGTCGCGAGAAACGGTGGAAACATTCTCGAGCCACACTATGCGGTCGCCATTCACCGTCTTGACTCCTACATTCAGAACCGGATTCAGGTTTGCACAGGAGGGCCTTGAAAAGCGAAATTCTCCAGCAGCGATCCGTGGTCCCGTGGTGTAGCGGTTAGCACTCAGGACTCTGAATCCTGCGACGGGAGTTCAAATCTCCCCGGGACCTTACACTTTTGAAAAATTAATGAAAAATGATTTTTAATGAATGAAAATGATGAAAATATTCGTGAATTGAAATAATCCATCATTTGTTATTTACAGTCTTGTTATTTACAGCTTTTTATGCAGAAATTCCCCTTTCCCAGGTCCGATTCCATGACCAAATCTACACGTACCGTGAGTTATGCCTGAAATATGGAGAGACTGGCTGCGTGAAAAATGATCACATCCAAATCATCACCGAGCTTTACAATCACGGCTTTAACATCACGTATCCGTATTTTCGAGTGGGCAATCGGTGAGTTGAAGTTGGATTTTCAAAAGGCACTGTAAGATTTTAGAACTTTTTGCCTGACTATGGTATTTTGAAATAAAGTATTCAAGAGATAGAAATGTTCCATTCAAGCTCTAGGACCTGTAGCCAGATCAGGACCAGGCTAGGCCAGATCAGGTCAGGACCAGGCTAGGCCAGGTTAGGGCCAGGCTAGGCTAGGTCAAGGCCAGGCCAGGCTAGGCTAGGTCAGGGCTAGGCTAGGCCACGTTAGGGCCAGGCTAAGCCAAGTTAGGGCCAATCAGAGCCAGGGTCAGGTTAGTTAGTAACCTGGCTGCTGGCTGGTTCAGAGCCAGATTAGGACCAGATTTTGGCCAGGTCAGAGCCATACATATCCTAGCTGCCGGCTAGTTCAGTGATCCAGCTCCAGACAGACCAGTTCAGTGCGCGATCAAAGCCAGCCCAGATCCAACTGAATAGCTTTTAAAAGTGTTATTTAGTGGCGGTTATATCGGATCGGCGTTGGGCGGAGTGGCTTTCGGACGGGGCGACAACGGGACGGTGCTCGTCTCAAAGGCTAGGGTGAAGCTTAGAGGATTGAAAGCTAGAGAAACTACTGTGGATTATGGCTGGAGATGATAGCTAGCTATGGAATCTAGCTATGAAATCTAGCTATGGAATCTAGCTATCAAATCCTTCCCTTAACTATTCTAGAGATTTCAGGCCTGGCTTCTCCTCTATCAGCTCAAGTTTCACCCAGCGAACATGTCCTACATTTCGGCGAAATGGGAAAAAGCGTTCAAGGTGGGCGGTGAATGTTAATCGGGTCTTAAAAATGGAAATCTTCATGCAAACAAATCCAGGAACACCTCAGCAATTACCCACCGGATCCTCTAATCTCGATCACCTATTTTCACTCGCAAACGCTGGCCGATGAATTGACACGAAATGCCGAATCGTTGGTGCCAAAGTGAGCTATTTTTTTTAATATAAAACTGTAAGATAATGTAAGATTTATCATTTAGAATTAGAAAATTCAAAAATCAATTTTTTTCAAATTAAATTTAAACCAAAAATCAATCTTTTCCCTCAGATTCATCACCTCTTTCGTGATGTTGTTGCTCTTTGCAGTTGCCTGTTCAATTGTGAACATTCACGGGACACCGTACATCGATTGGGTCCTCTCAAAGCCGGTATCGTTCAAAATCAAACATAAAAGAGCAAAGAGTTGCTGGTTTTGACTGTGCTTTTTGTAAATCAGTGAAAATTCGACTTAATACGTATCAGTGTGCGAGGGTTCATAAAATGAATAGCGCCAATTCGATTCACCGCCCCTGAAAACCCCTTGGGTACAAATTTACAGCAAAATATCTTCTTTTGTGCCATTTAAAAAGCAAAAAGAAATGACTGGCCAGATGTTCTTTGTGCAGCCGCACAATCGCTCGCTTTCTGGCACACGGTCCCGATACATACCTCGTCCCTTTTACTCAAAAATTATTCCCGTTAAAAGTGAACGGAAACGCTTTTGACTATGTAGATGTCTTGGATGATAGCTTGTTGCCGTTTTTGCTCTTAAATCGGACTATATAGATGTTCCCTGTGGGGTCTTTGAGCGGTCGCACAATCACTCGCCTTCTATGACACCCACCTAATAGATAGGTGTTCTCTTTTGGGATCTTATAACTAGCGAGGCAGTCACTGAAAGAGTTTTGACGATTGCTTTGGAGAATTGCTTGCCGCTGTTTTTACTCCTAAATCCAACCGTTCCCTATGTGTTTTCGAAGAGTGTGATATGAGAGAACAATGCGAGTTTTATAGTGTTATAGGGTTAGTATAGTGAATGTTATCAAGTCAAGATCGAGTTTAAGCGAAGCCCATCTGATAGAATTTTCATGGGGGATTCTAAATCTGCTTTTAGTTTTTCCGGAACGTTTCTGTAACGTGAGACATTTGGCATACAAAATTTGGCCTTTTTTCGACGAGTTTACAGGCTTTACTCATCAATCGTCAAATGTCCTCTGATAGCCTAGTGAATAGTGTGACCGTGTTCGAAACTGGCCTCCAGTCTTGTCCCTGGTTCGAAACTGGCCTCGAGACTTGTCCCTGTTTTGAAACTGGTCTCCAGTCTTGTCCCTGGTTCGAAACTGGCCTCGAGACTTGTCCCTGGTTCGGAACTGGCTTCGAGTCTTGTCCCTGGTTCGAAACTGGTCTCCAGTCTTGTCCCTGGTTCGAAACTGGCCTCGAATCCTGTCCCTGGTTCGGAACTGGCTTCGAGTCTTGTCCCTGGTTCAAATTCTTTAACTACCCACTGCCGCTGCTTATGTGAAAACTCGATCTTGACTTGACAACATTCCCTAGTAAGGAGCGGTCAGCGACTGAGCCATTTTTTTGTTTGTTCAATTGTGTTTGTCCATTACGCCCAAATTCATGGGATCAATTCCCGTCCTAAATTTGGCTGTATTTCTGCCACAAATTCCGTATCCCATTAAATCATTTTGTTACTTAAACATTAGCTAAACCGAGGGAAAAATGCGATCTGTTTTGAGAGTTTTGTCTTATGTCTCTGATTTTTTTTGGGATTATTTGGTCGAATCAAATTCACTATATCACTTGTAGTGTCTCCTTTAAAATCATATCAAAATTTAATACTTATTATCTCTAAAAAAATTTATGAAGTACTCGTCCAAAAGCCATTTTTAACTCGCAAAGTTTTCAAAGCTGTAACCGGACTATTCGTGAGCTGTTTCGAAATAACTTGAAGACGAAAGATACTCTAAATTCAATGTTACTTTACAGTCTAAAAGAACAATAGCATTCCTTGAGCTTTAGATCTTTTTAGATCCTTTCGATCCTTGGTGTTTTCAACGCGGGAATGGGAATCGCGTCAGCGGTTGGCGGCTTGGTTTTACTCGGCGTTCCCTATACGGATATCGTCGCAGTCATGCCGTTTCTCGTCGTTGGTTGGTAAAGAGTCAAAGAAAAAGATATTAGACTATTTAAATGATCGTTAAAAATATCGTTAAAATATTGGTTCGATTCTAGAATCGAATCCTTTAGCTTTGGTTCTAGAATCGAATCCTTTAGCTTCGGTTCTAGAATCGGATCCTTTAGCTTCTTGAGTCAACAAGCTATGGTCAAAGTTCATTAAAAACCTAACAAGCTGTCGAGTAGTTGTAAGTTGTTGTAAGCTGTCGAGTAGGATTGAGTTGTGGAAGCCTTTTTTAGCACTTAACTACTTGTAAGCACTTACTTGTAAGGAAAATTGTAAACTTGAGCTTTGAACAATGAACTTTGAACAATTTTTTAGGGTTTTTCCTTCTGGAATAGAAAATCTTTTTTCTTTTTTTTGCCAAAAGCCAAAATCCTTTTATCGGGTTTAGCTGTCGGTACGGATAATATGTTTCTGATGGTGGCGTGCGTGCGGCGAACGAATCGGAGTTGGACTGTCGAGCAGAGGATCGGTGAGAGATCGAGATAAAAGAGATAAAAGCTATCGTAATGTTAAACCAATATGCTAAAAGCTATTGTTTCTCTTCAACCAACGCGCCTCCAGAATTCTTTTTGTGCTCTAGAGTAGACTAGAGTAGACTAGAGTAGACTAGAGTAGACTAGAGTAGACTAGAGTAGACTAGAGTAGACTCAAGAGGCTAGCGTTTTTATTGCTACAGTACGATTGTTTCGATTGCTACAGTAAACCCTAGCGGTGGCTTCTAATGGAAAATCTGGTACATAAAAACAATTGCAATAGCTAGCTATTACAATAGCTAGCTATTGCACTAGCTGCAAATGAAAATTTGAATCCAGGTGAATGCATGTCCGACGCAGCTGTGTCGATCTCGATCACAGCTTTAACGGACGCTTTCTCGTTCGGTGTCGGCACGATCACCACCATTCCGGCAGTGCAAATCTTCTGTCTTTACACGTGTTTAGCCCTGGTGCTCACTTTTCTTTATCAGGTTTGTTGGACTTGTCGTTGACTACAGCAAGCTACTATATATGTTACGTTCGAATCCGAAATAAACCCTAAACCGAATCGCGCCACTTTGCATGCCCGTATCTCCAAAACTAGTGGGCCGATTTTGATGATTTTTCTGTCATTTTGTAGAGCAAGACTTAAAGATTCTTAAAGTGAAGTTACAGTTTGTGGAAAAGTTAAAAAAAATGGAATTAGTTCGGATCGTCTGAATCCGGACGATAGTTCGGACGCTTGGTCAGAGTCGGACGCTTGACCAGAGTCGGACGCTAGTTCAGAGTCGGACGCTTGGCCTGAGTCGGACGCTTGGCCTGAGTCGGACGCTAGTTCAGAGTCGGACGCTTGGCCAGAGTCGGACGCTTGACCAGAGTCGGACGCTAGTTCAGAGTCGGACGCTTGGCCAGAGTCGGACGCTTGACCAGAGTCGGACGCTAGTTCAGAGTCGGACGCTTGGCCAGAGTCGGACGCTTGACCAGAGTCGGACGCTAGTTCAGAGTCGGACGCTTGGCCAGAGTCGGACGCTTGACCAGAGTCGGACGCTAGTTCAGAGTCGGACGCTTGGCCAGAGTCGGACGCTTGACCAGAGTCGGACGCTTGGTCAGAGTCGGACGCTTGGTCAAAGTCGGACGCTTGGCCAGATTCGAACGCTAGTTCAGATTCGAACGCTAGTTCAGATTCGAACGCTAGTTCAGATTCGAACGCTAGTTCAGAGTCGGACGCTTGGTCAGAGTCGGACGCTTGGTCGGATTTGGACGTAGCATATATAAAAGAGTAGTGTCTGCCTGTTTATTTGGCATTGTCTTGTTAGTCAGCGTTTTTTGACCAATAAAGCTAAAACGTCTTTAGAAAACCTATTGTAGTTATGCCATTAAAAAACTTTCAAAACAACAAAGTTGAGTGAAACACCCCGGGAGTCGAACCCGGATGGCTGTAGACAGTAGAAAGGCCGTAGAAGCGCGGAGAAGCCGGAGAAGCGCGCTCCCGACTGCGCCTCGGCGACTATGAGTCGCACTCAAGCATCTGTCCAGAAAACCCGCCGTTAGACGGCTTTTTCAGCTGATAGTATTATAATATGTACTCCAGGTGACCTTCTTTTGTGCCTTGTTGAGTTTGGCAACAGAATGGGAGGCACGTGGACTGCACTGTATTCTGCTCCGGCAAACAGGTGGGTGAAAATATGGTTAACACGGTCTTTTTGGTGGGCGTACAGTCGCGTAGTCGATAACTTTTTTTACTGATAATTTTGGTGTAAATCCAAAAATAAATCAGGCAAGGCCAGAAACCAAGTCAACATCTGAGCTGCTAGCTTTGCTATGAGCTGTCAGCATTGCTATGAGCTGCTAGCATTGCTATGAGCTGCTAGCATTGATATGAGCTGTCAGCTTTGCTATGAGCTGTCAGCTTTGCTTTGGATTGGTTAAAGTTGTTAAAAACGTCAACATCACATTTGCAAATGAAATTTAGTGCCACCAAAGCTCCAAACAACCTCATCGATTATCGATCGAGTGTTGTGGCTTGGCTCCCGACCACATCCTGGTTTGAAAACTTTGCAAATCGAAAAGCATCCTGTGATTTTAGACCCCAAAAATCCGATCAACAAACGAAGCTGTACAGCGACGAGGTTTTTCCAAGATGTGTTAGTTTTACGGATTGTCGATTAGATTATTAGATGATTAGATGATTAGATGATTAGATGATCGAAAATCTAATCATCTTTGAGGTTCTTTGAGAAATCTTTGAGATTCTTGGAGCTGAGCTTGATTTCTGAACATACCGTTTGATGTAATTTTGAAAAGAGTCTAGACTGAATACCCTGATCTAGCTATTCTAGACGGAATATCCTATTCTAGATGGAATATCCTGTTCTAGATGGAATGCCGTAGTCCAGACAGTCTATACTGAAGACTCTAATCTAGACTGAATACTCTATCTAGACTGAATACTCTAATCTAGACTAAATACGGTGATCCAGCTATTCTAGGCCGAATATCTTATTCTAGATTGAATACCGTAATCCAGAGAGTCTAGACTGGATACACTAATCTAGACTGAATACTCTAATCTAGACTGAATAGGCTGAATATCTTATTCTAGAATTCAATGCGGAAATCGAATACGATCTTTCCAAAAACTCGAATCTGCGATCTTTCCAATGCTTTCCAATCTTTCCAATCTTTGCCTAACTTCAGTTTCGCACCGATTCTCATGCATCCAGCGATGAAATGCATGGCGACTTTATGGTATTTCATCTATCTCGGATTCGCGATTTATGGCTGCACTCAATTAAGGTGTGACAGCAAAACCTCTTTTAAAGGTCTATCACTTTTTAGGGAAGGACTAGAGCCAGTGAATCTGCTTGTTGACGACTCCTATGCGACTCCGCACTATCGGGTTCTCGAGAAGTACAGTTTTAAAGATCTAAACTTACCCACTTCTCTCACTATGACAGTCAGTATGCCTCTACTCAAGCATTAGTACTCTTCTCAAGCATTAGTACTCGATTTCTAACGATTACTACGCTTCAATTGCTACGCTAAACCTTTAGATACTTTTGGAAATACGGGGCAACCGTGCAAATCGTCGTCAGCAATCCACCGGATTTGACGAAACCGAACGAGAGACAAATTATGAAAGAAATGGTGGATTTTGAAGAATTTAATCTGGTTATATATCAGCTAGATAATTGATTTGATAATGAATTAATCTAACGATGAAAATCTAACGATAATCTAACGATAAATTGATCTCCTGTAGGCTCATGAGTTTGCGACGACGAAGCACTCGATGGGTGATGGATCGATTCAATGGTGGATGCCTGAAATGGAGAGATATTATGGGGATCGGGTTGTCGAGAATAGTACCCAGGTTTGCGTACTTTGGATAGAAATGGTTCACTAGAGAAATCGCGGCTATCTTGTTGGAGTACAGAAGGATAGGGTACTGTTCTACTAAGTGCAGGGTGGTTCCGGGTCTGTAAGCCAAAACGTAAGCCTAGGGTCTAGGTTCTGAGCCAACCAGGCCAACCTAGGCTAGGCCAACCTAGGCTAGGCCAACCTAGGCTAGGCCAACCTAGGCTAGGCCAACCAGGTCAACCTTGGCTAGCCCAACCAGGTCAACTTAGGCTAGGCCAACCCAGGCTAGGCCAACCAGGCTTAGTTAAGTCAACCTGGGTCAGACTCAGGGCCAATTAGTTAGGCCAGCTAGTTAGGCCAGCTAGTTAGGCCAGCTAGTTAGGCCAGCTAGTTAGGCCAGCTAGTTAGGTCAGCTAGTTAGGCCAGCTAGTTAGGCCAGCTAGTTAGGCCAGCTAGTTAGGCCAGCTAGTTAGGCCAGCTAGTTAGGCCAGCTAGTTAGGTCAGCTAGTTAGGCCAGCTAGTTAGGCCAGTTAGTTAGGCCAGATTCAAGCCTAGTTTCTGACAGACTCAGGGCTTCTTGTGAGCTAAAACTGTAATAGCCAGCTCATGCTTACAGTAAACTCAAAATAAGTAGTAAGCAAGTCAAGTAAAGCCTGTAGTAAATCAGCTCAATTGCTAGAACTGACTTTATCCAAAACTGGCTTTTCAAAAGTCGTTTCACTTTTTGAAAGTCGTGTTTTTTCAGGAATTCCTTGCACTAGCCGCGAATTTTTTCTATGAAATGCGCAACGATCCGTGGCCGGTCGATGTGAAATGGAAAAGAGTTGCGAATGGGAAATACGATATTACAGCTTTTCGGTAAGTTGAAAGAGAAGAAAAACACTAGAAAAAGCCTTTGGTATTGTAAAGTATTGTAATCTGCGTAATAATTTGAGCCAAATTTTTTGTGTAACCGGGTCATTTGCGCACCTAGGTCTTTGCGCAACTCGCCATAACTTTCTTTCAAAGCGCAAATGACCCAGTTACACAAAAAAATTGGTGCAAAGTAGCCACTCCCAAGGATTCATTAGAAGAAGGTTAGTCATTTCATGTTGGGTGGGCCTTTTTTTTCTGCAATAGTGCTTGAGATGGATTGCTTCAAATTGCTTCAACTTGTTTCAACTTGGTTCAACTTGTTTCCAATTCCTTCAACTTGCTTCAAATTGCTTCAAATTCCTTCAAATTCCCGCAAATTCCTTCAAATTCCTTCAAATTGCTTCAAATTGCTTCAAATTGCTTCAAATTGCTTCAAATTGCTTCAAATTCTTTCAAATTCCTTCAAATTCCTTCAAATTCCTTCAAATTCCCGCAAATTCCTTTAAATTCCTTCAAATTCCCGCAAATTCCTTCAAATTCCTTCAACTTGCTTCAAATTCCTTCAAATTCCTTCAAATTCCTTCAAATTGCTTCAAATTCCTTCAACTTGCTTCAAATTGCTTCAAATTGCTTCAAATTGCTTCAAATTCTTTCAAATTCTTTCAAATTCCTTTAAATTCTTTCAAATTCTTTCAAATTCCTTTAAATTCTTTCAAATTCCTTTAAATTCCTCCAACTTGCTTCAACTTGCTTCAAATTGCTTCAAATTGCTTCAAACCCCTTCAAATTCCTTCAAATTCCTTCAAATTCCTTCAAATTCCTTCAAATTCCTTCAAATTCCTGCAAATTCCTTCAAATTCCTTCAAATTCCTGCAAATTCCTTCAAATTCCTTCAAATAACATTCCAAATCAGGAAAAGTCTATCTACAATGCCTATATCTACATTCTGCTTTTTCGAAATAATTGAAAACGTTGAAAATCTAGGTTCTTGGTCGGGATGAAGAGCATTTCCTCGACAACAGATCAACAAGAAGCGACAACCGTTTTTCGCGAAGTCGCTTCAAGGTAAACAGCTGAAAATCGTGATTATTTGAAGTTTTTAGATGACGTAGCTTTATAGCTTTCTAACTAAAGAAACAATACTTTAGATATTCGCAGTACAATGTCACCACTTATATGCCATTGTGGCTGTTCACCGATCAGTATGCGCTGGTCGTGCCAAATACTGTGCAAGATATTGTGGTCGGGTTTTAAATACGCAGTACAATGTCACCACTTATATGCCATTGCCCAAAAACTTGTTTACTATTAAAAACTGATTATAAAAGATCGCTAAAAGCTCTAAAATTAAAATCTTTATCTTTAAAATTTTTAAAATATAACAAAATAACAGAAATTTGATTGAAATTTGATTGAAATTTAAGGTAGCAGTGCTCTGCATGTTGATGATCGCTTTTGTGCTCATTCCACAGGTGGGAATTCGGTTTTTTTTTAAAAAGAATCTATCTAATACTGTAAAATACTCTAGAATTTGCAAAATTTCCTATAATTTTTAGCCATTCTGTGCCCTTTGGGTGGCGTTTACTATTGGATCGATCGACGTCGGTGTGCTCGGCTTTATGACACTTTGGGGTGTCAATTTGGTAAAGAATTTTGATGGAAATAAAAAGGAATTGAAGTAAATATTAAATAATGACTTTAAGTAAAAGTTAAAGTGAATGAATTGAAGTAATTTAAGTAAATATTAAATAATTAACTTATTTGGAATTGATGGATTGGTGAAGAGATTAAAAGTTAATCGGTTAATTGGTGTTTCTTTAACCCAGCCCACATCCGCGCGAAATCGTGTTCTCTATCAGAATTTCACGTTTGAATAGCCATTTGACGCAGAAAATTGTGCTGAATCGAATGGGGAAGAAATTATCGAAATCCGTCTGACTCGATTTTTTTAAAACGCCTTTTATCGAAAAAAACCGCGAAAAAATGAACTCGCTCGCCGCGACCAACTTTCAGTGGCTTTCGGTGGCTTTCAGCGTCAAGCGTCAAGCGGAAATTTTGGCAAATTTCGCGTAAAGATTCTCGATCCCCCCCCACAAATTTACCCAGGAACAACGAGATTTTCAAGAAGAATAACAAAACAACAATGACTGAGGGAAAAGATGAGATCTCTTGGGGAAATTTTCGGGAAAAATTTCAAAAAAAATTTTCATTAAACATCAAAAAATGGGATCTTGCGGTTTGATAAAGTTGGAGGGAAAAGTTTGGGCAGAAAATTAGACATTCATTGATGCATTCAGAGGTGCATTCAGGCGGCAATATGACGCATTTCGAGTTCTCTATAAGAAATGCTTTTGAATACCAAACGCACGCTTGTTGGTGCCCTCAATTCTAAAGTCTAAAGAAATTGCACCAGATGGGGCTACACATCCGCGCGAAATCGTGTTCTCTATCAGAATTTCACGTTTGAATATCCATTTGACGCAGAAAATTGTGCTGAATCGAATGGGGAAGAAATTATCGAAATCCGTCTGACTCGATTTTTTTAAAACGCCTTTTATCGAAAAAAAAACGCACTTTTACAATCAACTCGCTCGCCGCGACCAACTTTCGGTGGCTCGTTCTCAGCGTGGTCAAAAGATTGCGCCCTCAAAACCGATAACTTTTGTGTAGACGTGTGCAAAGATCATTTTGATACCAAAAAAATAAAAATTGATCAACTCTGCGAAGACTTGATGCCTTTTTAAGTTGAAAATTATGTTTTTTGACTTTCTGCCCGCTAGAATGTGGACAATCTACGTGACGTACGGACAATCTAGGCTAGGCCAACCTTGGCTAGGCCAACCTTGGCTAGGCCAACCTTGGCTAGGCCAACCGTGGGTAGGCCAACCTTGGGTAGGCCAACCTTGGGTAGGCCAACCTTGGGTAGGCCAACCTTGGGTAGGCCAACCTTGGGTAGGCCAACCTTGGCTAGGCCAACCTTGGCGTGTTTTTAGTTTTACATGCTTAGAGAGGATTATTAACCCATTCGAAACTTCTGCAGCGAATAATCGCTGCAGCGAAAACTCAGGAACGGACCGCTGCAGCGATTATTCGCTGCAGCGCTAATTGAGCTATTTTCATTCAATTAATTGCTTTTTTTTTTTGCTGTTTTTCAGCATTACATGTATATTCCAATTGTAGCAGATCTACAAATTACGTGGGCAAAAAAGATGTTTCATATTTACCCGGAATCAATGCAGCCTCTGGTTTTGCATTGAAATGTTCCATAATAGCTCTAATCTTATAAAGCCGATCTCCTGCAGGATCCAGTTCATTATCACAAAAACGCAGGTTGCGGAGAATGGATTCAAATTTTGCTCTTGACATAATGTGGGACATGTGGGAAAATCCTCCTAATCCAGGCCTGCTACTCCAGTAGTCACGAATCCTCGGTAATTTGACGATTCCCATTTGACGCCAGGAAGAGCTTGAAAGATTTTGCATCGAAATCCTGCCAGTTTGTTTTCCTTTTTCCATGTTTATTAGATTCGCCTACTAAAATATTGTCGTCGATAAAATAAGAACAATAATCGATAGGATCTTGAAAAGTACTGAAGTCAAATCCAAATCGTTCTTCATCAAAAATAAATGGTGTAGGAGACTCTCTTACATCTTTCCAACCATAAATAAACTGCTTCGGAGTCAAAAATGTCAAAAAAAGGCCTTGGTCCGTAGACGAAAAAAAGAAAAAACGCTGCGGTTTCGAATGGGTTAAAGTTAAAACAAAGCAAAAAATGCCTTTTGGGCGCGTCTCGGATTCGCCATTTTTTCGCCGTTTTTTTGTCTTATTTCGCGCGGATGTGCAGCCCCCTTTTCTCTGAGATTTCGCCCCCCGTCCAACGTGCCGCCATAGCTCAGTCGGTTAGAGCGTGGGTCTAATAATCCTTTAGGTAGCCCAAGGTCGCAGGTTCGACCCCTGCTGGCGGCAAATCGTTTTGCCATTTTGACATTCCATCACTGAAGCTAAAGGCGTTTCGTTCCTTTCCGTACTTTCGTTGAAAAATAACAAATTCACCAATTAACTTTGGGATGTCAATTTGGTAAAGGATTTTGATGGAGATAAAAAGAAATTAAAGTAATTATAGTAATTATATTAACACATTCGCGACGAGGCGTTTTTTCGCGTTACTGCCCCAGCGGACGGGTGTCTCGCAAAGCTATTAGCCCCAAAATACACCTCCTATATGTCAAATTTCATGCTGAATCCGAATCTCTAATCAGATTTTAAAAATATTGCTGCCTCAAAAAGATATCGGCTCTTTTTGGCTCGTGAGACAAAACCCCGCATTTCTCTTTCTCGAATGGTCTGTTTTTCAAGATTTTTGATTTATTGGATGGGGCTCAGCTAGATGAACATATCAACAACATTTTTTGATAAGACTTTATCCCAAAAAGGTCGTTTTACTGGGATACGCGCAATAGAGGTCTTCTATAGCGCAGTCGGTAGAGCGTCTGTCTCTGGGGTGGGAGGGGTTTCGTCCGGTGGACCACAATTTCGTCCACCGGTGGATCGAACCGTCCCAGGGGCCAGACGGCCTTCGTCCACCGGTGGACCGAGCCGTCCCCGGGGGCCAGACAGCCTTCGTCCACCGGTGGACCGAACCGTCCCAGGGGGCCAGGGGGCCTTCGTCCACCGGTGGACTGAACCGTCCCAGGGGCCAGATGGCCTTCGTCCACCAGTGGACCGAATCGTCCCGAACGTGTTAACACATTCGGGACGATTCGGTATTTCGGACGATAATAAATTTAAACACTTTTATTTGGAATTGGTGGATTGGTGAAGGGATTATAGGTTAATGGGCTAATAGGTAAATTAGCGAATTAGTATTTTTCAAAGAAAGTACGGAAAGGAACGAAATGCCTTTAGCTTCAATGATGGAATGTCAAAATAGCAAAACAATTTGCCGCCAGCAGGGGTCGAACCTGCGACCTTGGGCTATCTAAACGAGTATTAGACCCACGCTCTAACCAACTGAGCTATGGCGGCACGTTGGCCAGGGGGAAAATCGCAGTGAAAAGGGGGCTGGGTTGATTTTTGATAAGCAGAATCAACTGAATGACACGAAAACTCGTAAAGAAATGGGAAAAACCAGGAACTTCTGTTTTTGTTTTATATTTCCCGGATCCACGAGTCGAGTCGTGTAGCAAATGTTCGCTCAACCATTTCCTCGTTTAAATTCTAATCTTTTATACTAATTGAAGACCTGATTGGGCAATTCTACAGAAACTTTTAGAAAACTTTAGCCGTGCAGTAGAAATGTGCATTTTAAGGCTTCTAGCAAAAGGCTTTTTAAGGCTTTTAGCAAAAAGGCAAAAGGCTAAAGTGTAAAATCAAATTGTTTCCACATTTTAGAAAATAAAAAGACATTTGCTAGAATGTATTTGGCGATCCGATGACACTAGACGCGTCTTTTCTGGCTTAAACTCTGGCACTAAACGATCCGATGCCACTAAACGCGTCTTTTCTGGCTTAAACTCTGGCACTAAACCATCCGATGACACTAAACGCGTCTTTTCTGGCTTAAACTCTGGCACTAAACGATCCGATGCCACTAAACGCGTCTTTTCTGGCTTAAACTTTGGCACTAAACGATCCGATGACACTAAACGCGTTTTTTCTCGCTTAAACTCTAGCACTAAACGATCCGATGACACTAGACGCGTCTTTTATCGCTTAAACTCTAGCACTAAACGATCCGATGACACTAGACGCGTTTTTTCTGGCTTAAACTCTGGCACTAAACGATCCGATGACACTAAAAGCGTCTTTTATCGCTTAAACTCTGGCACTCAATTTTTATTGAATGTTATTTTGCAGAATTGGCCTTTCTAATGAAAAAAAACCGTAGTTTAATTGATAAATTTGCTATTTTTCAACGTAATTAGAAAAAGAAAGAAAAAGACTTTCTGAAAAGCGTAAAATTTAGGACGCGATCTCGATGATCACAATCATTATGAGTGTTGGATTCTCGGTTGACTATGCAGCTCATATCACTTACGGATATGTGATATCGAAAGAGCCACTGGCTAGACATCGAGTCAGAGATGCGCTTGGTGAGTGAGGAAATTCGATGGTAGTTTGTGTAGACACCAGGCTAGACACTAGACTAAACACTAGACTGAACAAAAACATCCGTCAATCCTTTTGTTGGCAATTTAAAGTTTTTCGTGCTTTTCTCAGCACCAATTCTTCTATTTTGTCTGTTTTGATTATCATTCGATGGAGAACAAAATTTCGCGTCGAATGACACCAAAACCAACTGAAAATATAGTATCCATGCAAAGTTATGAAGCAATTTAAGATTTTTCTTGTTTTTCTCAGCATAAGCCCTTTGATTTTGACTATTTTAACTATCATTCGATGGAGAATAAGATTACGCGTCGAATGATACCAAAATGAGCTTAAAATATGGCATCTTTGCAAAGTTATTGGCTAAAAACCTAAACCCCATCCATTATAGTCGGGACTCAACTTTTTGCCACATAACTTTGCATGGATATTATATTTTCAGTTGGTTTTGGTGTCATTCGACGCGAAATTTCGTTCTCCATCGAATGCTAATCAAAACAGACAAAATAGAAGAATTGGTGCTGAGAAAAGCACGGAAAACTTTAAATTGCTACATAACTTTCCATGGATATTATATTTTAAGCTCATTTTGGTATCATTCGACGCGTAATTTTATTCTCCATCGAATGATAATTAAAATAGTCAAAATGGAAGAATTGGTGCTGAGAAGAACACGAAAAATCTTAAGTTCCCAACGGCAAAAAAGAATCGACAGATATTTTCGTTAAAATTCCCTATTTGATACACTAAATTCTTTAGTTTTCTTGCTAAAATGAGGATTTTAGACTGAATTTGTTTACATTTTCAAGCACAAAGCAAGAATCTTCACAATCCTTTTCTCATCAAACCGTTCTAGGTGATCTTGGCTGGCCGGTTGTGCAAGGAGCCGCCTCAACAATCCTCGCGGTTATCGTTCTCGCTGATGTGCCCGCTTACATGATTGTCACCTTTTTCAAGGTATAGTATTCAAAGAATTTTGTAAGAATAAAAAAATCCACACAAAGATTAGAGAATCTTTTGGTTGATTGGTTGATTTTAGACCGTTTTCTTGGCAATCACGATCGGCCTCGTGCACGGGCTCATCTTTCTGCCGTTAATGCTTTCTGTTTTTGTGCGCGGTTGTTGTACAGTTGGCTATCAGGTAAAGAATTTCATAGAAAATTTGTTAAAGAGCTCTAAATTAAGATCGATTCTTAGCATTAACCAGCGCCTAGGAAAAAATGCTCTAGCTAGGTAGGCTCTAGCTAGGTAGGCTCTAGCTAGGTAGGCTCTAGCTAGGTAGGCTCTAGCTAGGTAGGCTCTAGCTAGGTAGGCTCTAGCTAGGTAGGCTCTAGCTAGGTAGGCTCTAGCTAGGCAGGCTCCAGCCAGGCAGGCCTTCCATTGCCAGGTAGGCTCTAGCCAGGCAGGCTCCAGCCAGGCAGGCTCTAGCCAGGCAGCGCTCCAGCCAGGCAGGCTCTTTGCCGTCAGGTGGGCTCTGGCCAGGCAGGCCCAGCCAGGCAGGGCTCCAGCCAGGCTGGGCTCCGGCCAGGGCAGGCCCGAGCCAGGCAGGCCCCGAGCACAGAACAAAATAAAAAGCAGGCTCCCAGCCAGGCAGGCTCCAGCCAGGCAGGCCCCAGCCAGGCAGGCTCTAGCCAGGTAGGCTCTAGCTAGGTAGGCTCTAGCTAGGTAGGCTCTAGCTAGGTAGGCTCTAGCTAGGTAGGCTCTAGCTAGGTAGGCTCTAGCTCTCCCTAATTATGGCGACGCTTTTTTTGGAAAATTGCGCCAAGGCAAGAAAACAATTCTGACCATGCTTTTTGCTGACTTGAAAAAGTGGCCAAATGACAGATTCGCCGGAGAGATGTCGACTAGCGCTCATTCAAGCGCTTGTTAAATGAGTTGTATAAGTCCAATCGGGATGTTTTTGGGAGATAAATGTAGCCAAGATTCAGGACTACAATTCTCTAAATAACACTTGCCACTTTTGAAATAAATTAGACATTTCCCAGATACTCTTCCAAAAAGTTGTTGGGGTAATTCTTGGTCACCCTGTAGAATCTTTCAAGTTTTATGTAGGCATGATTAAAGTAGATCGTTTTATCAATAACTTATCGTCTAACCTGATAAGTTAACCATTAGCCATTAACCATTAACCGTTAACCAAAAGCTGTTATCTTTTTATAGCCGTTATCTTTTTATCAAAATCAAATTGATCATCGAATTTTAGCACAAAGATGAAGAGCGTTTCACTCTGCCGATCCCACCCGGTTCATATTCATTCACAAGCGCCGATAACCCTGTTCACAATTATGGAACTAATGTCAATTATGGAAATATGTCAAAGGTAAAAGAAAACTTTAAACAAATCATTCTGATTCTTGAGATTGCAAATATGACAACACCGCCAGTCGCTGCATTTGAGCAATCAACGTATCAGATGACCGAGGTGATTACCATTTGTTGGCCTGGCTCTGAGTCTTGCTTACTGTAGTTTTAAGAGTGAAAACTTTATAGTAAGATGAAGATAATGACTGTGAATTAACATTTATACCGTAAAAGCTCTAATACAAACTCTGTAGAAGCACCCGCTATAGGAGCGTTGCGTAGTCTAAGTTTACTCTCAAACAAACGTTCATATCTCGACACCAGCACCAGCCGCATCCCATTTTCCCGGGCCTCAAGAGTGATCGACGACCAATCACAACCACAAAAGAAGATCAAGCCGTGACCAGAATGGTGAAAAACGATCCGGGCAAAACAGCAACCGATGGAAGCTAAATGATGAGTGATCAATTTAGCAAGATTGGCTGCCCGTAAACCTCTGATGAATTCTAAGCACCGGAAGCAGCGCCTTGATTTTGCACGGACCTACCGAAGTTGGACAATAAGTGATTGGGCGAAAGTGCTGATGAAAAATCGTTTTTTTTGCCACTTTTTAATCATTTTTTCCTAGGCACTGGTTAATGCTAAAAATATGATTTATATCTCAAAAAATCACCCATTCTCTCTACTTTAATTTGATACCTAAACTAATAGAAACAAACGTACTGGTGTCGAGATATGAGCGGTTTTTTGAGTGTAAATTTAGACTACACGACGCTCCTATAGCGCTCCTTCTATTAAAGCTTTTACGTTAATTCTTTTAAACAGCTTGTTTAACCAACTTGTAAAACTATATTGGCTAGAAAATATCCTACATAGTCCCATAATCTATAATACAAGTAGGCTACCGTAATCTTACAGTTGTTCGTTTTCTATAGAAGCATTATTTTTGATGTAGAATAACGAACGGAAAGTTATGACAAAAAAGGAATTTTAAGGGAAGGAAACGCAAGCTTATAAGGAATTATGGCGAAAAATTAAGGGTTAAAAGACTTAAGACTGTACTCATAGTTACTGACTGCATAGATAGTAAGGTACAAAAGCGTTCAAAGTGCCACAAAGTCTTTAGGTTCGCCGTCCTCCACCCACTCATCCACCGCCACCAATCCCCCGTCGACCCCTTCAACCACCACAAGGAGATGTCTATGAGAAAGCTGGTGGAGCCCCACTTCCACCAACAAGACGATTTTTCTAGATGTGTTTTCTGATGTTGGTTTGATACTGAAATTCGATATTCTGATTCGAGCCGGATCTAGCTGGCTTAGAGGAGACTTTTGTTCTGGTTATGGATTGGCTTGGCTTGGCTTGGCTTGGCTTGGCTTGGCTTGGCTTGGCTTGGCTTGGCCATCCTTATTCTGAAACAATCCGTTTTCTAAAACGTGTCCACTTTCGTAACCTATTGTAATCTTGGCTCTATTTTATTTAGCCCTACTTTTTGTATCTTTCGTCTGTGTGAAAAATGTCTTTGTGAACTCTCACAGAATTAGAAAAGTGGATAGATTGGATAAAAATGGCGATAGGGTTATGATAGAAAGAGGATACGTTTTTGGAAACGTATTACTTGTGGACAACTCTAGGGGCTTCAAAACTCGAGTTGCATTTTTGTTTCACTACAGGATCACTACAGTTTACTACAGTTTACTACAGTTTAAAATCGCTATTCTATAGAACTCTTTACTCTTGTACAGTCTCAAACCAACACCATCCCCTATCACTTTCAACTAGTCCTGTAACTTTTCCCTTAAATTTACCCTTTTTTGTGATATTCTTTACCGGTGCTTTCTCTTTAAACTAATCTCAAAGCTGAACCTTTCCTTTGTGTGCTTGCGGGTGTGAAATAAAAAATGAGATAAAAAATATTGGAATAAATTTATTTTTGGAGAAAATTGCTCTTTTGTTTTCTTCTAATATGATTTTCTATTATATTGATAGCGATTGTTTTCTGCTAATTTGATCTGTTATATTGATGGCGATGAAAGCACTATGTAGCAACATTTAATCACAAATCATTTACAACTGATCATCCGCGGATATCCGTCGAATATTTTTGACGAATAAATGTGCATGATTGGTTGCACGAGTTCCGTGATTTATATCAATATTTGTTCCCATAATCAATTGATCGATTTCATCATTGAGGGATCGTTTGAAAATAAAAACCTCCTCCATCGATTGTTGTCCATAAAGGGTTTTGCAAAACGCCGTGAAATCCCCACAGATTCCCCCCATTTCTCGAGCTTTTTCAGTCAAATATCCAAGCAATTGTGTTGAAGATTTATTGTGTTCCAATGATGTTTCGCTTGATTTAATGATGTCCCGTGTCAGCAACAGATCTCTTTTAAATTCTTCGAGATAAACTTTGGGGAAATTTGTGGAAGAATGTACATGAATTGACAAAGCGGCTAATGGATTTCGGCTTGGAATTCCATTCTTAATAAATTCCCGGCCAATTTTCAGAAAATTATCAAGAGAACATGGTGAATAGTGAAGAAACGAAGGGTTAAATGTCTTAGGAAAATACCAAAATAAATCCGATCCTTCCAAAATAATGTTCGGACAGTTGACAAGTGATGGCATTGATAAGATAGAATTAATTGAATTTGATAAAAACAACGTTTCCCAATCAAATGATTTCTGGTCAAACTTCATAAAGTCAATTTTTGACGTGAAATTCCTAAAAAAGCAATCAACCAACGTTTGATCGTTGAATCCAATATTTAGATCTCGAACAAAGCGCATATTTGTGAAAAATTCATTTATGAATTGTGTAAGTTTTTCCTCATCATTTATCGCTGCTTTCTGGACTTCGACTGTGACATTCAATGAACGACATGATTTCTGATTTCTGAAGAAATTGAGCCCATTTAGTTGAGTGATCATCTCAAAATCATAGTCCTTTCCATTATAACAAGTGATATCTTTATGATTTGTTCCAAGATAGAACTCAATCTCCACGTGAAAATCGTTCATTTTGAGGCTGATCTTCGTTTTATGATACAAATCGGTCATGCAACGGAATTCATCGATTTTATTGGGTAATGGTCCATGGCAGAGAATATATTGACGAAGCGATCGATTCACTTCCAAAAGTTCCAATGATTTGTCGATTTGTAGACATTTTAGTGTTGGATGCTGAAGTAGCGATGGTAGATTGAGGAATGGAAATAGAGTTTTCGAATTAAAAGAAGGCATTTTCTTTTTCAAATGAAAACTCTGAATCGATACGAGCTATTGCTCCTCAAATACCCAGTGAATCACTGATAAGAGACTTTTGTTGAGAATCCACTGCCCAAATACTGACAATAGACTAAAGCATAGTCTAGCCAAAGTTTCATTTGACTCAAAAAAAATCGGGTTTGATCCATTCTTTGAGATCCCAGCCTCGAACTCTCCAGTATCACAGGCGAGACCCAACACAGCACAATTAGCTTGAGAAGTTCCTAAAAAAAGAAACAAATTGGTTTCAGATATAAAAGTAAAACATTTCTCAATGGGCAAAAGGAAACAGGCTTTAAATATTTTCAGGCATGGTTAAAGGGTCAGCTTCCCTCCCCTCCTGCGCCCCCCATGAATTGTCGAATCAAATCTGTAGGGGAAAGAAATCAAATCTGTAGAGAAAAGGAAACAAATCTGTAGAGAAAAGGAAACAAATCTGCCACAAAAAGGAATCAAAACGGCTCGTGTAAGTGTGAGCTCATTCTTTCTCCAAAAGTTTAAGGTGAAGGATTTCTTTGACAGAAACTTGACTTCTGAACGTAAAACGTGGATTTATTATGAGGATCATCAACGAAAAAAACCAGTGGCTGTTCCCAAATCAAGAGCCGAAAACCACTCCCAAACCAGATGTTCATGAAGAGAAGATGTTGGTGGAATGCAAAAGGTTTGGTGCACTACAAAGTGCAGTGAAGTGAAAACCTGGACAAACAGTTAATGCCAAATTTTATTCAAAACAATTGGTTCGAGTTAACGAGGCTTTGAAGAAATTGGGGCTCAAACCTTCAAGGGTCCGATTCCTTCACGACAACGCAAAACCACACACGGCAAAAGCCACTCACAAAAAAAATCGAAGAGCTTTCCTGGAAATTGTTGTCCCACGCACCTTACCTAGCACAATCAGATTATTTTTTGTTTCGGTCGTTGAAACGCTTTTTGGATGGAGAAAAGTTCGATGATCACGCTCAGGTCATAAAAGCAGTCAACACATACTTCACCTCCAAAACTCCTCAGTTTTTCGAGAATGGGACTTGCGCCGAAGATAGGAAGAAGTCATCGATAAAAATGGCGAATATCTTTTGAGTTAAAGTTTTCCATTTTACGTTTTGTGTAATAAACAAGTTGTTATTTAAAACGGAATTTTGAAAGTTGCCAACCTAATATTTTACTTTCGGTGAAATGCACGTCCAACAAAATGTTCCGCATTCGTCCACCAGTGGGCGCGCTCAACCCGTCAGAAACGGTCAGCGTGATGGTGAGTGCTTTGGTCAAAGAGTATGTTTAATCGTTTGTTCTTTAGTTAACGTTCAACCCAGGAAAGTCGACGCCTAACAACGAAAAGCATCACTTCTCCATCCACTACATCAAATCGACCGACGAGAAGGAAGCACCCCGGATTGCATGGGTCGAGTATAAGGTGGGTTTTATAAAAAGTTTTTGATCTATGCTGTTTTTTGTTTAGGGAGATCCTGAAGGGACAAAGCGACTCTATGTCGATTTTGCGGAAGAAGGCGGAAAGGGTGATGGTGAGAAAAAGGAAGAGAACAAGGTGAGCGGTTTAAAATGTTCTTAAGAATCTATCTTTTTAGGGAGAAACAATGACCGATGGAGCAAATGCCGAAAAGAAAGATGAGAAAAAGGTGAGTGATATTTTGGATTAAGAAAAATAATGGCTAATGTTAGAGTAATCCTCATTGAGTGTGATTTTGCTTTCAAAACCGACAATGTTTACCTTGTTTATGAAGAGGAAAAGAAATAGACGGTGTCGATCGCATCCGCTCTCCATTTCGTCGCTTCTCATTATTTTTCTTCCTCTTCGCGATTAATTTGCTATCAAAAATGCGTGTTGTGATTGTTTGAGCATGCATCTCTCGCTGGTTTTTGCTCTCTGGTGTCCATCACATACTTCACCTCATCATTTTGTTGTGCTTACCTAAATCATTGATTGAATAAATCCATTTTAGAATTGTAAAATACGATTTTATAATCTTCTGGCAATGCTTTATGCGTAGTTTTGGTTTCACTGATATGACATTTGATGAGTCTGTTATATGTCGAGGTGATGAGGAAAAATTGAGGAATCTTTTCCGAACTTGTTGATTCTTATGCGCTTTCTCTCCTTTCTTCATGGAATTTGCATTTTAATACTTAGCATTTAGCCCTCCGAAAGCAATCTTCGTCCAGCTTTTCCTCTCATTCCTCACCACTTATGCCGCTCCTCCAATCAGTAAAGGACAAGCTCAAATCTTTGACCGCCCGAAAGAAACATCAACATCAGCTCTGCATTGGATATCCGACAAAGAAAGCGGGTTTGTTGTTTTGTTTGGTATGCAATAGTTGGATATCTTTTTCTTTAGCTTTTTGCGTACTTTACGAATAACTAGATCGAGCGTTGACTTAACAATTAGCCCATGCTATTTCGTTATTCGCAAAGTACCGCTAATAAACTATTTACTCGAGTAGTTAAACCCGAACCATTTTTGTATTTAGCACGCAACAAATTGTCGACAACCAAATACAACGCATGGAACTTTCTGCCGAAGTTTCTCTTTCAGAAGTTCACCGAGCCAACAAATGCTTTTTTTCTAATTCTCACGTTATTGAAGGTTAAAATTGTCTTTGGGGGCACTTTGTATATTTTAATTTTAGCTTAACCGATCGATTTCTCCATTTGCTTGGCATTCATCTGGTGTTCCGCTTGCGGTCATCATTCTATTCGGTGGTTTGACGGAGATCTACGAAGACTTGGTTTATAGAAAACTTTTTGAAACAATAAGCATTATTTTCTAGAAACGCCGATGGGAAGATCGTCGCCTCAACAACTTAAAAGTCGATTATTTTGATGGAGAATGGAAACAAATTTCTTGGCGAGAGGTAGCTTTTGAACTAGCTTTAACTGATATTGTTTGTGTAAATGTTTTAGTTAAAAGAAGGGCACGTTGTACGCATTTGCAAAGGAGATCAAGTGCCGGCTGATCTTCTCGTAGTGAGGTAAATCTTGCTTACTGATTAAGCATATTTGTCACGTTTAGTTCCTCAGAGCCTGGTGGTGAAGTGTACATGGAGACAGCAAATCTCGACGGTGAAGCCAATCTAAAAGTTCGGCAATCACCCGTAGAAACGATGGACATTAATTCAGAGGAACGCCTGAAAGTGACGATAATATTAGTTAAATTTTATATTTAGCTTTAGTGTTTACTTCACTCAAAGTCTACTGTGTCTAGCGATCAACCTACCCGAGCAATTGAAGAATTCAATGGTGTTTTACATTTGAATGGGCCGGTGATCAGGTATTAGTAGAAAGTTTTCTTTAGAAATCTTTATTTGAGCATAATGCAAAACGTCATAACTGCAAACAACCCAACTCCGGAAGATGCAAAGATTCCTTTAAGTGGGATTTGTACACGTTCTATTGAAGCAAACTGTTTTAGATGGTACAAATCTTGTAGTTAGAGGTGCCACTTTACAAAACACTGATTGGATGATTGGCGTTGTGATTTTTGGTGGCAAAAGAACCAAACTCGGGATGAATTCAACCAAGAAAAGCACAAAAACGTAAGCGTTGCGGACACGCTTTTACTTAATCAAGTTTATTAAGATCACAAGTGCATCGTTTGACGAATTGGTTGATATTTATTCAAATCGGCTGGTTATTGACAAGTTCGGCGTTGATCGCATTTTGGAATAAGATGCATAGCAATAGTTGGATGCGAGCAGCGTTTGGTAATTTAAATGTTTTAAAAGATGATCTTTTCAATTTGGGTGATAAATATGACGAAGTTGAGCCGAACTACTTTGCGCTATTCTTTGGTGAATTGATTCTCTCGTCGAATCTTGTGCCAATCTCGCTTTGTGTGACAATCGAATTTTGTCTTGCTTGGCAAGCCTATTATATGCAGCAGGTTTTTTTATTTTTTACAGGGAGTAAAATTAATCTTTTTAGGATCTTGACCTCTATGACCCTGAATTGAAGAAACGATTGAAGGTATGGCTGCTGTTAGATAAAGGAGAATATTCTTTTAAGGTGCACTCGTTCGGAACGATTCCAAATTTGGGTGTAATCAAGTACGTGATGTCGGACAAGACCGGAACGTTAACGATGAACAAAATGAAATTCAAGCTTTGCTCAATCACCGGGTATTTCGCGGTTGTTCGACAACTTTACATTCTTATTTAGGCAAAAGTATGGCAAAAGTAACAGACTTGCGGAGTTCAACACGGATTTGATTCTGAGAGATTTAAAAACGGACGAAAGGGTTCGACTTTTAGTCTCAGCCTGATTCTACCTTTTAAATTTAAGAAGAACTCGAGTGCAATCGATTTGTTTTTGACCTCGTGTGCGGTTTGTCATACCGTAATCGCTGGACATGATAGGAAGTACGTTTATTATATTTGATTCATAAATGGGGCTAACTTTAGTAAAGCCGTTTCCACACCCGATGCAGGGGAGACCTCGCTATCAAGACGGAAAGTATCAAAGAATTTTCCAAAGGCGAAAGATCCACTGACTCCACAACATATTTATCACGCTTGTTCACCGGGTAACCCTTGATTTAAAGTAAATTATTGCAAATGAGTGTTTCAAGATGAGGCTTGCTTGGTTCGATTCGCTTGCTCATCGAATTACGTTTTCACTTCGCGAACACCGAGCTCAATAAACGTCGAAGTGGTATAAAATATTGTCACTTCAGAGTTTTATCAATTTTAGCACGGAGTACGAAAAGTCTATGATGTCTTGGCAATTATCGAGTTTACATCAACGCGAAAAAGAATGTCAATATTGGTACGGACACCCGAAGGAGTGATTCGACTTTTCGTCAAAGGAGCAGTTAGTTTTTGAGATGTTTTGTTGGTCAATACGTTTTGTTGGACAATAAGATATGTGATGCCGAATAACCTATTCTTTAGGATGTGAAAATTTTGGCAATGCTTGGACCAAACAGCGATCCAACTGTGCTCTCGACTACACAAAGCCATTTGAAAGAGTTTGCTAATCAAGGTAGTTTTAGCTGTTTTGCAAGTTTCTAACGAAAAAAAAATTAGGTTATCGAACATTATGCTTTGGATATCGAGATGTGAGTCAAGAAGAGTACGAGTGGGTTCCAAAATTTTTTTTATACATGATACATTCAGTGCATGGGCGCCTTTGTGGACAAAAGTAAGTTGTGACTTAGAGGATCGACAGAAGCAAATCGAACTTGTCGCGGAAAAACTTGAAAAGGTGAACTTTAACTGTTAGTTTCCACAGCCACCAATTTTTTAAGAAATTGATTCTGCTGGGTGCTTCAGCCATCGAGGACAAATTGCAAGATGTAATAAAAACTATTTATATTTTAATTTTGCTCTTTAGCGTGTCCCACAGACAATCTCTCGTATGTTGCAAGCAGACATTCGCGTTTGGGTTCTAACCGGCGATAAGCTTGAAACTGCATTAAATATTGGTATGGTATTTTGTTTATTTTAATAATAGAACCTTTTAATTTGGGCTATTCGTGCTCGCTTTTAACGCCTCGCAAGCCTATATTTATTTTGGCAGCAAAGACGGAGAAAGAAATGGAGGAATTGCTCGACAGGTTAGCATCGTGACATTTATTTTGATTTGCCTTTTAGCTATGTGGATACGATTGGAGATCAACTTGCACAAAAAGAAGCCCAAGTCGGTCTCATCGTTGATGCACATGTTCGTTCCACAAATTTTGGGCTAAATATTTCTGTTTAGTGTCTCGATTGGATACTCGGCTCAAAGGTGAGAAAAATGGACTTCTTGCGAATTGCTTTGGGATGTTCGGCGGTAATTTGTTGTCGATGTACGCCGTTACAAAAAGTAAGATTTGGGTTTGAAAGTTGAAAGAAGGGCATTGAAACTTTGCAGGCCTCAGTTACTCGCTTATTGAAGAGAAATATTGATGGATTAGTGCTTGGGATTGGTGATGGGGCGAACGATGTTGCGATGATTCAGGTAGAAATTGATTGAAACAAAATGATTTTTGTCAATCAAATCAATTCAGCCTTTAACGTAATTGACATCATTGTAGGAAGCCGATGTGGGTGTTGGGATAGCCGGTTTGGAAGGAAGTCAAGCATCGAACGCTGCTGATTTTGCGATTACCCAGGTTTGCTTTTAAAAAGAGCTTCTTTTATTTTCTTTCTCTCTTTAGTTTCGTCATTTGGATCGACTGCTTTTTGTGCACGGCACCAGCAATTACTACAGAATAACGACGCTTGTGTTATTTTTTCTCTACAAGAACTTAGTCGAAGTGTGCTTAAATGTAAGAAATTTGACGGATATTCGCTCAAAATACCTTGTTTAGATAGCCTATTCTTTTTATAACGATCATTCGGACCAAGGGATGGCTGATGAGTATACGATAGTTCGATACAACATGATCTACACTTGGTTTGTTGCATTTTGTCTCCGGAAATCTTGCTTCTCATCAACAGCAAATCTTCCATTTAGTCTCGCCGTGTTTGTTATTGGAATTCACGATTCTCCGGCTCCGTTCAATGTGCTGGCAAAATTCCCTCGATTGTACACGCATTTTCAAGAGAACATGAGCAACAAGGTATTTTTGTTTCATTTTTTTAAAAATTTTGTTTTATAGAATTACCTTCTTTGGTCGGGAAATGCCATTTTGCACGCACTAATTATCTACACTGCACTTGTTAATTGGTGGAGAGATGGATGCGGTAGAAAATTTTCGAAATTTATGACTTAAGTTCTTTTAGAGGTGTTTACAAGTGGTCGGGATGGTTGGGGGCAAATGTTTGGAACTTACACGTACATGGTAGGCTTTGTTGATCCTCTGAAAAAAAAACGAATCTTTGATCTAGTGTCTCGTTATTATTGTCAATGCAAAAGCAGTGATCGGGAGTCGCTCAATAACTTTTGTGAGCTTACTTGACAAGATTTTTTATTGAGTAAATGAACTTTAGATGACCGGAGCCGCCTTTGTCGCCTCGATTTTTTCGGTTTTTCTCTTCCTGTTCACCGACTCGCTCCTCTTTCCGTTTACATTTCCGGTTGTGGCTCCTAACAAAGCACATTATTTGGGTAAACATTTGATATTAGATACAGTAGAACGAAGATGTATTCATATTCATCAGTTGCTAAAAATAAGTTTTTAGGCTTAATCTACACGTTACCGTCGTGGCAAACAGCTTTCTTCTTGCCGTTCATTTGTGTCGTTTGTTTGCTGCCTGACATTTTGTTTACGTCGTTTGTTTAGAGTTATACTTAAATTTAAATTGCAACATTTAGAGCACATCGCACTCTCAATCCCTCGTTATTGTTACGCGTTGTACAATCACTGAAGAAAAAAGTTTGTTGTTAGAATTGAAAGTAGTCAATGTGCCGTTTCAGGACACCATCGTTGATAAGATCATTCTGGGACCCTTTGTACGAATGACCAACATATTTGGGCTCAAAGAGGAGCTCGAAGGCGGGACAAGTTAGTTTTTTTTCTTGGCTATGAAAACGGTTACTACATTCAAAGACTAGTTAAAAGTTGGGCATCTATATTTTACCACTCAAATTTATCTTTTTGTCTAGATGGTTTTTCGTTTGCACAAGATGATGGGCAGGCGATTTCACAATCAGCTCTTTTGCGAATGTATGGAGCGCCTAGTTGTAAAGTAAGTTTTTTGACTGGGCTTTTTGTTATTCTAAAAAGTTTAGTCTGAGGTTCGCGTTCAACGCTCAAATATTGTAGCCGAGCAAGAGAGCTACCAACTAGAAGAAATTAATAAGGTTGCCGATTTTGCATAACAGCTTTACATTTTTACAGCAAACTACACCTCTTCCACACGCCGAAGCAAACATTAATAATAACGACATTAGTGATAATCCCAAACCAGAGATTAAGGTTTGTTTTTTTGCAAAAGTGAATCCATTTTATTTTTGCTGAAGACAGAAGTGATCAACGAGCAATGAAAGCGAGAAGTATTTGGGAAAATTCGATTTCAATTTGATCTTTTATATAGCGTTACGTGAATTCTATTTCTCAATTCCTTTTTTTTCGTTTGGCTTTACGAGTGTGAACTGGATTACTTTTCGCTTGGTTGTTTTTGTTATTTGTGCCCGTAGAACATTTTGTATTCAAAGCGGTGACAATGGTAATAAAAATTTATTCGCCTTTATCCATACAAAAGTACAGCTTTTGCAGATGGAGGTGTCTTCGGGCATTTGCAGACATTGCCATTTGATAGCTGTTGGCTCACAATCGTCGGCTGTTAAACAACCGGCTGGTGGTCATTCCTGCAAAAGATTTTGTCTGGCAATTTGGCACTCTTTGTGTAGCTTATGCTTGCCTCTTTTTGGGGCACGCACATTTTCGTGCCATCCTCGATTGGGTGACGTTGAAGCGCTCCATTCGTTCTACAATCCTCGGTCGTCTCACAAGGAGATCCTAATTCTGTCGTTGTAATACAAAGGTTTGAAATTCTATGAGGTAACATAGTATGCAGACAGCCGGAGTACGGTAACACAGTGCTATTTGTTAACTCACCAACACTCAGCACAACGGGAACAAGAGCAATTATGAGAAGCGATTTGAGCATTTTTTTGCTTGGTGGAATTTGTGAAATGAGCTCATTCTTTTTGACTGTATAAATAGCAAATTCAATCGTGTTTCTTTTTCTAAAGTGTCTTCTAAACAGATTCTCTTGAAAATTCATGTATTCAGTAGGAAAATGAACTCGCATCATTGTGTAGTTTGCTCTGTTTACACTGCTTTCTTTTTTTTTTATAGCATTTTGGTTTCTAGATTTCGTTTTAAGTGTTTTAATCACCCGTTTCAAAAAAAAAACAACAACTATACCGTATTAAATGATTAGAAAACAAGAGAACTTTTCGATTTCTATAAAACACTGTACGAATGATGCGATCCGTACGATGGAACGCTCCAATCGGCCATCGGTACGTCGAACTCGCGGCGATTCACGATTCTAGAATTGAAATCAAACTTGAGCTCAATATCAATCAAGCATTTGTAATTCCTCATCGAATGATACCAAAATCGGACTGATTGCATGTAAACTAACGGTTTGACTACGATAGTTTTCGCAAATAGGTGCCTTTTAGAAAAGGCATTATTCGCTGGGAATACACTCTAAAGTAGAGGGTTTTCCTCGCGAGTAATACCCTTTTTTAAAACCCAAATTTGGAAAAAATTATCGTACTTTTAGCGAAAATTATTGCAAAGAATTGACCCGAAAAAATCCCGAACGCCGACTTATATAAGACTTCTTTTAAAGATATTCAGCTGTTTAACCGATTTGGTCACAAATTCCCCTTCAAATCTAAAGATATTCAGCTGTTTAACTTATTTGGTCGCAAATCCCCTCCAAACGTAAAGATATTCAATTTACGCGGCGTGTAAAGAGGATTACTCGTAGTTACTCGACCAAAAACGTCGATTAGCCTCGAGTAAAAATTGCACATGCAAGATTTTACTCGAGTAATTACTTGGGTCGCTAGGATCGCTAGGGTCGCTAGGATCGCTAGGGTCGCTAGGATCGCTAGGGTCGCTAGGATCGCTAGGGTCGCTAGGATCGCTAGGGTCGCTAGGATCGCTAGGGTCGCTAGGATCGCTAGGGTCGCTAGGATCGCTAGGGTCGCTAGGATCGCTAGGGTCGCTAGGATCGCTAGGGTCGCTAGGATCGCTAGGGTCGCTAGGATCGCTAGGGTCGCTAGGATCGCTAGGGTCGCTAGGATCGCTAGGGTCGCTAGGATCGCTAGGGTCGCTAGGATCGCTAGGCGCTAGGATCGCTAGGGTCGCTAGGATCGCTAGGGTCGCTAGGATCGCTAGGGTCGCTAGGATCGCTAGGGTCGCTAGGATCGCTAGGGTCGCTAGGATCGCTAGGGTCGCTAGGATCGCTAGGGCGCTAGGATCGCTAGGGCGCAGGATCGCAGGGCGCTAGGATCGCTAGGGTCGCTAGGATCGCTAGGGTCGCAGGTCGCTAGGGTCGCTAGGATCGCTAGGGTCGCTAGGATCGCTAGGGTCGCTAGGATCGCTAGGGTCGCTAGGATCGCTAGGGTCGCTAGGATCGCTAGGGTCGCTAGGATCGCTAGGGTCGCTAGGATCGCTAGGGTCGCTAGGACGCTAGGGTCGCTAGGATCGCTAGGGTCGCTAGGATCGCTAGGGTCGCTAGGATCGCTAGGGTCGCTAGGATCGCTAGGGTCGCTAGGATCGCTAGGGTCGCTAGGTCGCTAGGGTCGCTAGGATCGCTAGGGTCGCTAGGATCGCTAGGGTCGCTAGGATCGCTAGGGCGCTAGGCGCAGGGTCGCAGGATCGCTAGGGTCGCTAGGATCGCTAGGGTCGCTAGGATCGCGGGTCGCTAGGATCGCTAGGGTCGCTAGGACGCAGGGTCGCTAGGATCGCTAGGGTCGCTAGGATCGCTAGGGTCGCTAGGATCGCTAGGGTCGCTAGGATCGCTCTAATAGTAAGCCTCGTTGATACATTTCAAAGATTAAAATGCCAAAGTTATTAATGTCAAAGTTATTAATGCCAAAGTTCCCTGTGAAAGCTCACTCGTCAGCAGCCCGAATGCTCATCCGGCGACTCCTCGTCGCTGCGAGAATTTTCGTCCTCGTCAATGGGGTCATCGTTTTCCATGTGTCTTTCACCTGTAACTTTTATTGGTATTATTTAATACCAGCCGAAGTTCGGTGAAACACTCGAGAACCAAACTCGGGCCGTGTGGGCTGTAGAGAAGCACCGACTGACTGTGCCACGGACAAAAGTGTGCGGGTTTTTCTGACTGGATGTTTTGAGGGATTTTTGCACGATACGCGACTGTTATCACCGTGGCGCAGTCGGGAGCGCGCTTTTCTACAGCTGACACGGGTCGGGTTCGATTCCCGGGTGTTCCACCGAACTTTCATTTTTCAATTTTTTTTTTTGGAAATAGCACAATGATGGGCGTACAGTCGCGTAGTCTAACTTTGAACGTCCCGTTCTCCGCGCTGCTTTGAGCTACAGTGTGCGTTTGGGTGTCAAATGATAGCCCTTGAAATCTAGTATTTTTTGGTACCAAAAGTGTAGTTGAGAAAAATCTAGGGGTTGAGAAAGAAATGATTTTCTAAAAAGAAGCTAGACTACGCGACTGTACGAAGCGGATGGCGTTCTACTAGAGTATTTACGAAGCGGATGGCGTTCTACTAGAGTATTTACGAAGCGGATGGCGTTCTATTAGAGCATTCACCTGTATATGATCGATATTTTGCCAGTTTGCGCTCGTGATCCCGCGTACGAGAATCAGCAAAAACTCTTCGCTCAAATCGTTCTGAAGATTTGGAAAGATGTAGGGAGAATTTAGATAATAGATTTACCAAAATGATCCTCGACGGCTTCAATCCGGGCATGACCACTCGCGCGAATAACTCGAAATCTTCGACGCTCGAGATTTGCGCCGAGTTTGTCGGGGTAACCTCATTTGTCGAGTGGATTTGAATCTGATTTTGATTCAACTTTTCAACAATGCTAGGGAAGCCAATTAGTCTTTTTTCGTCTTTTCCGTCTTTTTCCATCTTTTTCCGTCTTTTTCCATCTTTTTCCGTCTTTTTCCATCTTTTTCCATCTTTTTCCATCTTTTTCCGTCTTTTTCCGCATTATTACGTTTTCAGAGTTAATTACTATAAAAGTAGTGCTTTTTTGAGCTCCATTATTTCAAGATTCGAGCTTATCTTGGCTTTGCTAACAAAAATGGGCACATTTTTGATAAATCCCTTTTTTTCGAAAGCAGCAGTGATTTTGGTATCATTGCTTATCGCTATTGCCTATTGCTTAAATGCTTATTGCTTAAATTGCTTATCGGCAGCAATTTAAAGTCTTATATGAAACGAATAAAGTTTTAAATTCTTACAGAAACTTATGAAGCTAGTGAAAAAATGTCCGTAGATTTTAAATATCTAAAAGAAAAAAACTGTAAACTCTTTTGGTTTTTGAGGAAATCATCCTTTTGCGCAACATTTTATATGCCGCACCCTGTAATTTTATGAAAAGTTTTAAAATCAAAAACTTGTGAAACGGAAAGAAAGATTAGAGAAAAGCTATGAAATTTTCTATGAAAATTTAACCCACCCTATTACTAGATCCCAGAACCAGGATTTGTTTTGGAGCTTTGTCACCAATACCTCACCAATACCTCTAAGACACGTAGTAGAGATGGTTATAGGATCGGATCGGCTCGGGCTTTATCGCGTCGAATCTGATCCGATAAGCCTAATCGGTCGGACCTATCGAATCGGTCCTGATCCGATCCGATCAGATACGATCCAATAAGCCCGATCGGATCAGATCGAGCTTGGGAGATGGAATCGGAACAGGGTCGATCCCATCTGATAAGTCCGATCGATTAGGCTTATCGGATTGGATCGGATCGGAGAGGGCCGAGCCCATCCGATAGGTTCGACCGGGCTAATAGGATCGGACTGGAACAGGACCTATCCGATCCGATAGGTCCGACCGATCGGGCTTATCGGATTGGACCGGAACAGGACTGATCCCATCCGATAGGTTGGACCGATCAAGATCGGATTAGATCGGATCGGACAGAACCGACCCGATCCGATAGGTTTGACCGAGCTAATAGGATCGGACCGGAGCAGGACCGATCCGATAGGTCCGACCGATCGGGCTAGCCCGATCCGATCTGATTTTGCCAAAAAACCATGTCTACTTTGTAGACATGGGCGTCAGGTTGGGTCGTCCGAACTGAACTGAATCGGACGTCTGATTCTGAATCGGACGTCTGATTCTGTCGGGTCTGATTCTGAATCGGACGTCTGATTCTGAATCGGACGTCTGATTCTGAATCGGACGTCTGATTCTGAATCGGACGTCTGATTCTGAATCGGATGAAATTCCGAGTCGGACGTGACATATAAGCCAGCTTGGGTTAGCTTGAGTTAGCTTGGGTTATCTGCAAGACTAGCACAGGCGAGCCATTAAGCTGCTTAATCTGGTCAGCTATTTCAGTCGAAAGTCAACTTAAAAAAGCATGTTTATTTTTGATACCCTGTCCCATGGACATCATTGTGTAATTTGCTTTGTTTTTTTGTTCGTATTAGAATTTTGGTGGTGTGGTTGTTGGTAAAAACGAGATTTAGCATCTCCTTTGTCGATTACAATATTTCTATTCTCACCATCATCTTCTTTGAGTCGAGCAACACGTCGTTCCACGTCTCGTAGGGCGGTAAGGGGTAGTGCTAAAAAGTGCTGTGCCTGGTAGTGCTTTAAATTGTAATTTCTACTGGAAAATTTGTTGCTTTATTGAAATTTTCAATTCAATTCAATTCAACTTTTAAACCCACATCAAAATCCCATTGATAAGTGAAATGAATTTCATGAATTTCCGTCAATCCACAACGTCGTCGATTTCTGAAAGTTTTAAATTGAAAATTGAAAAATTGAAAACTCTAAATGCTTTATTTTTTTTTTTGATCTGTCTTCGCGTTCAGGTGTTCCTATTTGCGCAGATCACAACCTGCTTCCACATTTCTCGATCCCTTGCTATTGTCATCCAGTGTTTCCTATCTTGATTGTTCCTGGTTCGAAGTCTTCGACTTGCTTGTGCTGGTGGTGGTTACACTCTAGCCATCCTTTCTCTGACCGTCCCTGCCACTCTTGTGCTCCACCTCGTTGCTGGTCTTCCGATGGGCCTCTTCCGGTCTCGTGGTAGCCACTCTGTGATCCGTATCGTCCATCTGTCGTCTGTTTTTCTGGCTACGTGGCCGGCCCATCTGAGTCTTTTTCTCTCAATCACTTTCACTGAATCTCTGAGTCCCGAGAGCTGGCGCATATCCGTACTTCTTAGGTCTTGGTCGAGGTCTTGGTCGAGGTCGAGCTGCGTCTTCCTATTGTACCCTTAGGAGGTTCCTTTCAAGGGCTCGATGCGTCGTTCTCAGGGCTCGTTCAGTGGTCTGTGTCGTGGCCCAGGTCTCTGTCAATGCTTTATGCTTTTTGCTTTATGCTAAATACCTTTTTGGATAAATTTTATAGAAGAATTGTATTTAGAGAAATGTTTACTTCAAGATTTGTTCCCGAATCGATCGACTTGTTTGGGAAAGAGAGCGGAGATCGGACGGAGAAAGCTGAAGGGGGAAACTTTCTATCATTTTCTGTGTTTTTTCAATTTTCTAAAGCAATTTCTTTTTTCTAAAACGTATCCATTTCCCTTAAACTACCGTAATCTTTGCTTTATTCAATCCTACTTTTTTTTGTATCTTTCGATTTGCTTTGTGAAGCCTAACAGAATAAGAAAAAAAAATGTAGATACCGTATTTTCTCTAATAGTAGTGCACCCTGAGCGTCGTCTAAATTCCTCGAAATCTCGAGAACCGCTTATCAGAACCTATTGATGTGCGGTCGGAAAATGTAGCTGACGATGAGATCTACTTGGGGATTTGAGTGTTGAGCTTCTGGGAAAGCTTGGAAGCTGTAAAATGACTATCAACTCGGCTACTATTAGGAAAAATATCGGCTCTTGCGTAGTTTACGGATACTTTGAAAGAATTCGAGTATTTTGAAAGAATCCTAGTATTTCGAACGGATCGTCACACTTTGAAGGCCTATAACTTTGTCCGGAGATTAGATTCTTGTTAACTTTTTATATCATTGAATAGAGGACATTTTAGGCTTTCAAATGGTATCAAATAGAGCTTGATTGGATAATCGAGTCCTCTAAATTCCTCGAAATCTCGAGAACCGCTTATCAGAACCTATTGATGTGCGGTCGGAAAATGTAGCTGACGATGAGATCTACTTGGGGATTTGAGAGTTGAGCTTCTGGGAAAACTTTGGAAGCCGTAAATAGTCATCAACTCGGCTCGCTTGGGTCCACTACTATTAGGGAAAATACCGTATATATCCTATGTCCAAACAAGAAATCCCTTCCATCTAGACTGATTCTAGATCTACTCTTCTCTTCTTAAAGCTGTCTTAAAGCTCTTAAAGCTTAAAGCACTTAAAGCTTAAAGCTATTAAAGCCTAAAAGCTCTTAAAGCTGTCTTAAAGCTCTTAAAGCTCTTAAAGCTATTAAAGCTTAAAGCCCTTAAAGCTTAAAGCTCTTAAAGCTCTTAAAGCTATTAAAGCTTAAAGCCCTTAAAGCTTAAAGCTCTTAAAGCCTAAAGCTATTAAAGCTTAAAGCTATTAAAGCTATTAAAGCTCTTAAAGCTCTTAAAGCTTAAAGCTATTAAAGCCTAAAGCTATTAAAGCTTAAAGCTCTTAAAGTCTAAAGCTCTTAAAGCTCTTAAAGCTTTTAGCATTTTTATAAACTAAACACAAAATTCTACCTTTAATTAGAGTACATCCTTATCGTTTTCTAAAACGTTTCAACTTTTGAAAAGCTACCTTCCTCTTAATTAAATCCATCTACTTCGCTTTGAAAAATATCTACAGCATTTTCTCTAATAGTATTTTCCCTGAGCTCCTAAATTCCTCGAAATCTCGAGAACCGTTTATCAGAACCTATCGATGTGGGGTCGGAAAATGTAGCTGACGACGAGATCTAGTGAGGGATTAGAGTGTTGAGCTTCTGGGAAAACTTTGAAAGCCGTAAATAGTCATCAACTCGGCTCTACTATTCTACTCGGCTCGAACTCTACTCGGCTTGGGTGCACTACTATTAGAGAAAATACGGTAAATTAAATAAAATTAGCCAAGATTACGGTAAAAAGAGAAAGGGTAAGAGAAAGGGATAAAAAGAGAAACGTTTTACAAAACGATTTACTACAAACATTTTGCGCAATTCTGACAATCGTCTCTTCTGGCAATCCGTCTAATCGAGGAGCCGTTTGAACGATGAAAGTTACAGAGTGAGATCTCGATAAAGAACGATGTAAAACGGCTGAGCGAGCTCTGAAACGCAAGGATAATGAAAAAGTGACAAACTGAGTGCACTGAGTGCACTAGAAAGGGTACGTTTGCAGTTTTAGTCTCTTCTACTCTATGAAAAGCCATTGTTTAGTTCTTTTGGTCTAGTGTTTAGTTCTACTGTTCTTTTGGTGTACTTTGAAAGGCTAAACACACCGTTTCTGGCCTAAATTTTGGCATCAAACACTTGCTGGAAAGTGTGCCAGAAAGGATGGGTTTAGATGAGCAAAAAAGTATATAACATCTTTGTAAGCATTAGCTATTGGGTTGGGGAGAATGAGTCGGCGCCAAACTTTAAAGGGACTTTTTGCACACATAAAGCCTTCTTTAAACATACGTTTGGTTTCATCAAAAGGATCCACTATTTCTCTACAAAATCACTTTTGAGAGATTCCACAAAGCTTTTCTTTCGTGGAGTTTATGAACTTCCAAACGCAGCTGCTGGTTAAAATGGCAAAGAGTCCGACTCATCATTTGAACAGTTTCTTTCACATAAACCTTCTTTGGTGTTTATATAAAAAAGATAGAGCACATTCAATTACTTAAGTTGCCAAATTTGCAGGAAGATCCCACCAATGGTTTTTTCTAGATCACAGTTTGTAGTTTTTGTGAAAAAATGGCTTTTTCTTGAGCGGAGGCGCTGTTTGAATTTTCTTTTAAATGTCATTTTGTAGAGAATTAGTTAACCATTCTACTCATATCAAACGCATATTATTTGACGAAGTCTGCCAGAAGTTTTAGACATTTTTTTGATTTTCGGCGCCGACTCATTCTCCCCAACCCAATATTTGGCATCCTTGCCTAATCCATTAATCGTTTCAATTCAATTACCCAATCCATTAATCGTTTCAATTCAATTACCCAATCCAAATCAATTAATGGCTTGAGTTAGTTTCAATATAAAGTAGTTAGTTTCAATATAAATTTACCTCACTAACGGGGCTTTTTTGAAAATTTCCCTTCCTCGATCATCTCGGAAGATTCTTGGTGGATTGTAGGGTTTTTCGTTTGTCGAAATCATCGAGAATGACGGCGATTCGTCTCTTTTCTCTTCTTCTTGTGAGATTTCTCGGCGAAGTTGATAAGCCGCCGAGGAGAGACTCGCTGATTTTCTGAAATTTCTGAAATTTTCTGAACGTAATCCAGCTACCATATTTTCTACAGTATTTCTACAGGCAAATCCGGTAAATCAAAATTATCCGGACAATTCTTTTGAAAAAGTAGTTGCTGCACGCTTTTTATCGCACGAACAATTAATCAGCATTCTTAAATCCTCAGATCCCGGATCTGTGCTGATTCAAGGACTTGCTAAACTTATCAGATGTGTAATACAGTTCCAATACGGTTCCAATACGGTTTCAATACGGTTCCTTTTAAGGTTCCAATACGGTTCCAATACGGTTCCTTTTAAGGTTCCAATACGGTTCTAATACAGTTCCAATACGGTTCCAATACGGTTCCAATACGGTTCCAATACGGCTCCAATACGGTTCCAATACGGCTCCAATACGGTTCCTTTTAAGGTTCCAATACGGTTCTAATACAGTTCCAATACGGTTCCTTTTAAGGTTCCAATACGGTTCCAATACGGTTCCTTTTAAGGTTCCAATACGGTTCCTTTTAAGGTTCCAATACGGTTCCTTTTAAGGTTCCAATACGGTTCCAATACGGTTCCTTTTAAGGTTCCAATACGGTTCTAATACAGTTCCAATACGGTTCCAATACGGTTCCAATACGGTTCCAATACGGCTCCAATACGGTTCCAATACGGCCCAATACGGTTCCTTTTAAGGTTCCAATACGGTTCTAATACAGTCCAATACGGTTCCAATACGGTTCCAATACGGTCCAATACGGCCCAATACGGTTCCAATACGGCTCCAATACGGTTCCTTTTAAGGTTCCAATACGGTTCTAATACAGTTCCAATACGGTTCCTTTTAAGGTTCCAATACGGTTCCAATACGGTTCCTTTTAAGGTTCCAATACGGTTCCAATACGGTTCCTTTTAAGGTTCCAATACGGTTCTAATACAGTTCCAATACGGTTCCAATACGGTTCCAATACGGTTCCAATACGGCTCCAATACGGTTCCAATACGGCTCCAATACGGTTCCTTTTAAGGTTCCAATACGGTTCTAATACAGTTCCAATACGGTTCCTTTTAAGGTTCCAATACGGTTCCAATACGGTTCCTTTTAAGGTTCCAATACGGTTCCAATACGGTTCCTTTTAAGGTTCCAATACGGTTCTAATACAGTTCCAATACGGTTCCAATACGGTTCCAATACGGTTCCTTTTAAGGTTCCAATACGGTTCCAATACGGTTCCAATACGGTTCCAATACGGTTCCTTTTAAGGTTCCAATACGGTTCCAATACAGTTCCAATACGGTTCCAATACGGTTCCAATACGGTTCCTTTTAAGGTTCCAATACGGTTCCAATACGGTTCCAATACGGTTCCAATACGGTTCCTTTTAAGGTTCCAATACGGTTCCAATACGGCTCCAATAATATTCTAATGATCTATGCAGTACAGTACACATCTGATTGCGAAGTTTTTGGGTAGATAAATGTAGGCAAGATTATGAAAATGAAGATTATAATGAATAGGAAACACTTAGAAATTTAACCGAGGCTATTTTTGCAATGACAATGCAATGCTGCTTTTAAACGACGCTGCTTTGACCAGTAGCGGACCAGTAGCTCCATATTTTCAGTAAAAAAACCTTCTCAAAATTGTTTTTCAATCAAACACTCTACTAATATTTTAGATTTAAAACTATTTTAGATTTGAAAGAACTCAACTACAGTGCTTTCTAGTTCTAGTTCAACTACAGTTCTAGTTCTAGAATTCCTTTCTTCCACATTCACCTCAACATTGCACCCGTTTCCACTGATGATTGACTCCTCGATAAGCCTGACTGATTGAGTGGCTTTTTCAATTTGATCTTCACTTCGTAATGAGAGAGAAATTTTCTCTTTGCTGGCACAGAGGCTTGAACGTGGGATTTGACGGACTGAAAAGCTACAGAGCTACAGATTTTGTGAAAATATGCTAAAGATTTTGTGATTTCATTTGAAATTAGACTAACTTTTTGGGAAACTTTTGACTGGAGGACACTTTTCGGTGACAATGGCGGTTTCAAAGTTTTCGGTGATATTGGCGGTTTTCTCGTTGTCGGTTGTGTCTCTAGAATGAGAAAAACTCAAAGAAATTTAAGAAAAACCTCATTGCAAAGGCTATTTTAAGTTTTTTTTCTCTGAAAATTGAAAGATAATTGAAGACGCCGATTCTGAATCTCCGAATCGAATCTCCGAATCGAATCTCCTTTCCTTCAATCACTCTGTCAAGAGCATCTAGAAATTATGGGGAAAAGAAAATTCTTTGATCTCTAAGATCTTGGGTGAGCTTTTTAAGAAATCAGGAAACGAGAAAGTTAAAAATTGATTGAAGAATTGATTGAATTGTTGATGTTTGATGAATTTGTTTTATTAAATTAATTAAGGCACTATTAGAATAGCAAGAATTAGCACTGTTCAACTAGAACTGGGTGTAATTTAGTGTGATGGGGGAAAAGAGAGAATGGATTGGTGGTTGAACTATCGAAACCCCATGAAAGCCGGTTGGTTTAACCAGTGGCAGTGGGTTAGAATACAAGGCAGTTAAGGACTCTAGTTCAAGTTCGAGACTCTAGTTCGAGTCCATCGTTCTACTTTTTTCTTTTGCTTTCTTGGATTTGCAAAGTTAATCGTTTTTCATTTCAAATACAAGTTTATTTTAAATTACTTTTCACATGTCATTTAGACCAAAACCAGTTAAGATTCCCTTGTCAATATTGTATTCTGAATTAGAATGGTTACCCGTTTACTAGGATTTCGGTACCATACCTTCGTATCATACGATAAGAAGAATGATAAAGCTTGGTGTAGAGAAGGGGTACTAGTACTAACTAGGAGTACCAGTACTAACTAGAGATACTAGTACTAACTAGGATACCAGTATAACTAGGGAAACTAGTACTAACTGGGATACTAGTACTAGCTAGGAATACCAGTACTAGCTAGGGAAACTAGTACTAACTAGGATACTAGTACTAACTAGAGGTACTAGTACTAACTAGAGGTACTAGTACTAACTAGGATACTAGTACTAACTAGGATACCAGTATAACTAGGATACTAGTATAACTAGGATACCAGTATTCTAGGATACTAGTATAACTAGGATACCAGTATAAATAGAAGTACCAGTACTAACTAGGATACTAGTACTAGCTAGGAATACTAGTACTAACTAGGATACCAGTATAACTAGGAGTACCAGTATAACTAGGATACCAGTATAACTAGGAATACTAGTACTAACTAGGATACCAGTATAACTAGGATACTAGTACTAACTAGGGAAACTAGTACTAACTAGGATACTAATATTAACTAGGAATACTAACTAGGATACTAGTACTAACTAAGATACTAGTACTAACTAGGATACCAGTATAACTAAGAGTACCAGTACTAACTAGGGAAGCTAGCACTAACTAGGGAAACTAGTACTAGCTAGGGAAACTAGTACTAACTAGGAATACCAGCATATTTCTGCATTCTATCTTTGATTTGAAAGTCTATCAAATCAATAATGTAATCAATTTGACGCTAATGCGTTAAATTTTGGCTTGATTGACTGTTGATTGATTGAATTGATTGAATTGATTAATTGATTGAATTGATTTTGATTGATTGAATTGAGTTGATTGATTGATTGAATTGATTGAATTGATTAATTGATTAATTGATTGAATTGATTGATTGATTGATTGATTGAATTGATTGATTGATTGAATTGATTAATGAGATTGATTAGATTGAATGAAGAGAAGAGGATGAGATGTGATAATTGATTGATTGGAAGATGAATTGAGGAGGATTAATTGATTGAATTGATATGAGATTGAAGAGATTGAAATGGTTGAATTGATATTGTGAATTGATTGATTGGATTGAATTGATGTGAATTGTTGATTGATTGAATTGATTGAATTGATTAATTGATGAATTGATTAATTGATTGAATTGAATTGATTGATTGATTGATTGAATTGAATTGATTGATTGATTGAATTGATTAAATTGATTGAATTGATTAATTGATTGAATTGATTAATTGATTGAATTGAATTGATTGATTGAATTGAATTGATTGATTGAATTGATTGACTGTTGAAAAGACTTTCAAATTCTATTCCCTTCAAACGAACCTAGAGCCATTTCTCTCATCAAATCCTTTTGAGTCAATTGGAGAGGCGTTGACGCTAAAAAGGAAGATTTTGTAGTTACAAGAAAAAACGTGAAAAAGAAAAATTGAGCTGAAAAGCTTACGTTTTTCAGTAGGATTTTGGGGATTTCCTTTGCAATTCTCTCTTTTCTGATTGTTGGCTGTAATTTGATCTCGATCTTTTCTTTCTTTTCTTTCTTTTCCCTTCGCTTGATCGAGCTTCGAATCGGATTTCGATTTTGTATAAATTTTTGAATTTTTCATTATTTCCTCAAGGTTTTCATTTGAATTTTTGGTTGGAATTGGATTTGAAACAAAATTTGAATCAAAATTTGGCTCAAAATTGCGCTCAATTGCATACAAATGAGCGCAATTCGAATTTCCTTTCCTTTGCAGCGCCTCGACGAAAGCTGTGAGCAATTGTAGATTGTCTAGGGTTTTCCCTTTTTGATTCAATCGACTGTCCGAGTGTTTTCTCGTGGTCACCGGTTGACATCGATTCGTTCGATAGGAAAATTGGGTTTTCTCCGTCTCAATCGGTTCTTCTTCAGTCCAAAAATCGACACAAGCTTCTCTATAGAGTGGCCTTTTATGTGAGCCGATGAGGCTACGGTAGTTGTCGAGATTTTCCTTTTCGAGATCTACCGTAACGTTGTCGATCTGGGCTACTGTATCACTACAGACAGGCTCTTTCTGGGCTACTGTAGTTGTGTCATTCTGCACCCGAGTGAAGTCATTTAGGCTTATGGCAGTTGTCACCGTACTCTTGTCGATCTCTTTCTGGTCTACTGTAGCTTTTAAGACATTATGCGGCCGGCTTACAGTAGTTGGAGCTACAGTAACCTTGACAAGCTCTTTCTGGGCTACTATAGTTGTGTCATTCTCCTGCTGGCTTACAGTAGTAGCTACCGTACTCTTGTCGATCTCTTTCTGGGCTACTGTAGCTTTTAAGACATTCTCCTGCTGGCTGACAGTAGTTGGAGCTACAGTAACCTTGACAAGCTCTTTCTGAGCTACTGTAGCTTTTAAGACATTCTCTGGCTGGCTGACAGTAGTTGAAGCCACCGTAACCTTGGCAGGCTCTTTCTGGGCTACTGTAGTTGTGTCATTCTGGGCTACTGTAGCTTTTAAGACATTCTCCGGCTGGCTGACAGTAGTTGGAGCTACCGTAATCTTGCTGACCTCGTTTCCGTTCTGTACTGTAGCTCTTAAGCCATTCTGCACCCGAGTTCCTGTAGCTGGAGCTACAGTAACCTGGTCGATCTCTTTCTGAGCTACTGCAGTTGTTATTCTATTCCTATGAGCTACCGAATCTACCGTAATCTTCTCACGATCTTCTCCAGCTTTCCAGCCATTTCCCATTGTGACTTTTTTATTCTCCACCCGAGCTACCGTAGTCGATAGCTTTTTGATGAAAGGAATCGGAGTGATCGCTCTTTTTTCCGTCCCGCTTACCGTATTCTCGGATTTTTCTCGAATTGGCGTAACTGATCGTTGTCTGGGGATTACGGTAGTCATTTGTGAAATAGAATTCACTCGATTTAACGATGTTTTTATGGATTTTGTCGAATCGAAACTTTTTGATGAGGATGATCGCGGGAATTTCTCGATTTTCTCTTCATTTACCGTCTCCGCCATAGAGATTTTCTTTTCTAAGCCTTCCTTATCAGTTACCGTATCATTTCTTGTATCACTAGCTTCGTTTCTGCCATTCCTAGCTGCAGTAGCTCGATTTTCTAAACGTTGATCCAACTTTTCTTCTCGATTCACAATTTTTCTTCTCGATTCATCGATCGTAGCTATCGTAGCTCCATTTTCTAAGCGAATTAAAGGCAATTCACCTTTCGCAGCTCCATTACGTAGCTCCAAACGTTGCCCCATCATTACAGTAGCTTTTGCGGTGACTTTTCCTCGAATTCTTGGCGATGGCGGCGGTTTATTGGGTGTTGTCGGGGTTTTCGGAGAGAAAATCAACTCCTCAAGTTCGTTTTTTTCACATAAATCAAGATTTATTGGTTTTAAAGCCTTTTTAATCTTCAGCACAGCATTTTCCTTTTCTTTCACGTATTTAATTATGATCGTTCGCATTGTGAAAGCCATTGCCGGCACACGGGATTCATGAAAGTCGTGAACAATTGAGTAAATTGAAAGATTCTTGTTATTTTCTTGTTCCTCGACGCTTTCTCGACTCTCTTCTTTCGTTAGATCCTCAGTGTTCTCGTTTTTCTCTCTTCTCTCGCTTCTCTCTCTTCTCTCGCTTCTCAACAATTCTTGACTCTGATTTCTTAAACTTGACACACTAGGGCTTCTCCTTATCGTCAATCTAACCATCTCGTTTTCTTCCTTTTCTTCCTTTTCTTCTCTTTTCTTAAGCGGATTTTGTGTTAAAGGAATCGTGAAAGTAATCGGATTTTCTTCATCATTTTCCTCATCATTTTCCTCGTCTTCATCATCCGAGAAAATCGTTGAATAGCTGAAAGTTGTTGTGTGAATCGTGCCAATATCCGAATCTTCGATATAAGTGTAAGAGGAACGACGCAGGGGATCCATTTCGATTAATTCTAAAGCTTATTTCTAATTCTAAAGCTTAAAAATAGCTAAAGTATGCTTTTATAAAGACAGAAAAACGAAAATTGTTAAAAAATAGTAAAAAAATAGAAAACAAATAGAAAACAAATAGAAAACAAATAGAAAACAAATAGAAAAACAAGTAGAAAAACGAAAATTTCACTTTGAAATGACAGTTTCACTTCCTTTTTTGCTTAGTTTCATTCTGAAATGACAAAAAGATAGGTTAATTTGGAGAATAGTTGATGAAACTATTGGGTTGGGGAGAATGAGTCGGCGCCAAACTTTAAAGGGACTTTTTGCACACATAAAGCCTTCTTTAAACATACGTTTGGTTTCATCAAAAGGATCCACTATTTCTCTACAAAATCACTTTTGAGAGATTCCACAAAGCTTTTCTTTCGTGGAGTTTATGAACTTCCAAACGCAGCTGCTGGTTAAAATGGCAAAGAGTCCGACTCATCATTTGAACAGTTTCTTTCACATAAACCTTCTTTGGTATTTATATAAAAAAGATAGAGCACATTCAATTACTTAAGTTGCCAAATTTGCAGGAAGATCCCACCAATGGTTTTTTCTAGATCACAGTTTGTAGTTTTTGTGAAAAAAATGGCTTTTTCTTGAGCGGAGGCGCTGTTTGAATTTTCTTTTAAATGTCATTTTGTAGAGAATTAGTTAACCATTCTACTCATATCAAACGCATATTATTTGACGAAGTCTGCCAGAAGTTTTAGACATTTTTTTGATTTTCGGCGCCGACTCATTCTCCCCAACCCAATAGCTTTAATTTAATGACCACTATACGTGAAAGCATAGAAGTGAATCATGTAATGAGTCACTTTGAACAGATAATAGAGATTGTTGATTTATGAATTACTTTGTTGTTCAAAGACAATGAGACATTTCTTTCATCAGTTGAATGAAGAGGATAACCGGCTTTTCGAGTTCGCCCATTTTTGAAGCACCATCGATCTGTTGCAAGCGTTCCCCAGTTGAAACCCATTCGACGATCTGCTCCTTAAAAGATCGATCCCATTTCCTTGATAACCGATCCAGCTGGTTTCACAACTCATCATCAGCTTGAATGATTTCCCGTTGTTCGGCGTTCCCCATCGCGAAGCAGGTGGCACGACACACCATTCACATGCTTTTTCCACCACCGCTGAGAGCACCACTTCCGGCTCAACGCAGTTCACACTGCCTAACACTTTGTGGAATCTCTCAAAAGCCATTTTGTAAAGAAATAGTGGACCATTTTGATGAAACAAAACGTGTATTTAAAGAAGGTTTTATGGGTGCAAAAAGTTTTTTTTAAATTTCGGCGCCGACTCATTCTCCCCAACCCAATATTTACAGAGAAGCCTATAATTTTAGGTGTAGATAAAAAAAAAGCAAAAATTGCTCTAGATAAACAAAATGAAACTTTAGAGAGGAAACTTTTCTTTTAAAATCTTGCTTTGAAATGAATGAACAAGAAATTAACAATTAAATCCAAAGCGATCACTATTTTTAGTTCAGCCCCACTGTCAAGCGTTTAGGAAAGGCGGCCAAGTAGGTTATCGGACGTTTGATACGTGCCGCGCAACTTTGCCTAACTTTTTCTTGGTGTTCGGCTGTTGAATTTTCAGAATGAAACATTCTGAAATGACAAAAAGATAAGTTAATTTGGCGAATAGTTGATGAAACTATTTATAGAGAAGCCCATAATTCTAGAAGATTTAATCAACCCTTACTCCAATGAAAGACAAATTATCGTTTACTCAGCTTTTAAAAAACCGACACAGCTTTTCTCCTCCCCCCTAAAACTTACCACTTTTTCTTCCTAGTGTAACCTGTCTTTTAGCCAATAAATCTACTTTTATATCTCGAGAGATTCTTTATGAACCCTTACAATATCAATGGATAGATTAGATGTCGTAGCCGATTATGAATTTCAGCCGATTATGAATGAGTGGGTCTAGGAGCGTCCAACCATCAAGTATTTAGTATCATTCAACGCAGAATCATTGAGAATAGGAGCGTCCAAGTGAGTCTAGGAGCATCCAAGTGAGTCTAGGAGCGTCCAAGTGAGTCTAGGAGCATCCAAGTGAGTCTAGGAGCGTCCAAGTGAGTCTAGGAGCGTCCAAGTGAGTCTAGGAGCATCCAAGTGAGTCTAGGAGCGTCCAAGTGAGTCTAGGAGCATCCAACCATCAAGTATTTAGTATCATTCAACGCAGAATCATTAATAATTATGTTAAATCTTTTAAATTAGAAAGATTGGATAAAAAGAAAAAAAATTATGGGACTTCAAAGTTTTCTCTTGAACAAACAGTTTTTTTGCTCTAATTTTTTTTTCTTTTCATCAAATCTTGCTAATTTCAAAAATTTAACATAATTATTAATGATTCTGCGTTGAATGATACTAAATATTTGATGGTTGGACGCTCCTAGACCCACTCATTCATAATCGGCTACGGGGGTCCCGCCGATTTTGAATGAAACGTTGTAGCGCCGGCAATTTTTAACCTAAACTCACAAATTTGGTACCAATCGACGCAGAATTGAATTCGCTACAAGATGATATAATATTGTCCTCATACATTAAAGGGTTGCTCTACTAGAAAGATTTGCCAAAGAATTTCATTCATAATCGGCTACGACATAGATAAAAAATAGAGACAGATTACGATAGAACGAGAAAAGGTTTTAGTTTAGTTTTAGAAGCACGTTTTAGAAATGGAGTAATCAAATTTTGTTCACGAATTCATGTCAAATTAAAAGAAATTTCAAAACAAACAAACTATTGGGTTGGTGAATTGAAAACTGCGGGACTTTGAACTAAAATTTATTCAACATAAAACCATCAATTCATTCCAAATCATTTCCATTATTATTGACGACTTCTGCCCATTTTACAGGCAATTTTCGGACTCTTCGCTTTAGTCTAGACCGTTAATCGGGAATTTAAACCAGTATCAATAGTTAGGGGTTCTCAAGATTGGCTGGGGGATTGTTAAGCTGTAAGATTGTAAAGTTGTAAGATTGTAAAGTTTGCTTAAGTCAAGTCCTTGATCGATTCGAAATCCAAAGAGAGATTCGCTAGATAGGAACAATAGGAAAAAAGTTTTCGATAAAAAGACAGAAGAAGAAAGATTTCAATTTAAAAAGAAGAAAATTGGAGAAGCACAATGTTGAGTGAAAGGAATTTGTCTTTGGCTTTGTCTTTGGCTTTGCCTTTGGCTTTGTCTTTGGCTTTGTCTTTGACTTTGTCTCTGAGCGGAAAATGGAAACAACAGCTTTCTAGGGCAGTGAGGTTTATTTTAAAAATGAAATTAAATGCTAATTGTAAAGAGTGGCTAAATGTAAGGTAGGTGCTTTGTTCAGCTGATGGGGGTTTTCGAGGAGTTCCATCATTTCTCTCTTCCCGGTTCAAGCCCGGGATCAAACGCTGAAAACAGAAAAGACAATGGGAAAAAGAAAAAAGAAAAAAGAAAAAGAAAAAAGAAAAAGAAAAAGAAAAAAAAAAAGAAAAGAGAAATGGATAATGTGTAAAGTCTTTTGCGTGTTTTTTTCTTTTCTTTTTCTCTTCTTTTCGGGAAATCTAATCTTTTTGATAGTTTGAGGAATCTTTAAGAGATCTTTAAGATATCTTTAAGAATTTCTGAACTCATGCATAGTTGAAACTCAATAGTTTTTTGAGCAAAAAAACTAAAATTCCATAAACTCCTCAAAAAAATCTTATTGCACTATAATTTCCAAAGATTACAAAGCATTTCAACATCTAAATATCAATCTAGATATCCATCTAGGTATCCATCTAGGTATCCATCTAGATATCCATCTAGGTATCCATCTAGGTATCCATCTAGGTATCCATCTAGGTATCCATCTAAATATCCATCTAGGTATCCATCTAGGTATCCATCTAGGTATCCATCTAGATATCCATCTAGGTATCCATCTAGATATCCATCTAGGTATCCATCTAAATCTCCATCTAACTATCCATCTAGGTATCCATCTAGATATCCATCTAGGTATCCATCTAGGTATCCATCTAGGTATCCATCTAGATATCCATCTAGGTATCCATCTAGGTATCCATCTAAATATCCATCTAGGTATCCATCCAAATATCCATTTAAATATCCATTTAAATCTCCATCTAAATCTCCATCTAAATCTCCATCTAAATATCCATCTAAATCTCCATCTAAATATCCAATCTTGTTATCAAAATCCTTTTCATCTTACTATAGTTGCGTTCATCTTGTCTTCGTCTTACTTTTCCAATTCTTAGACTCCATTCTTGGTCACCGAACTTCTATCGGCAGCGGATGTCCTCCGTGGGCCACTGTAGCGGATGTCCTCCGTGAGGTAAAGGAGAATGGCACTCCTAGGTACCCGGGTACTTTAAAGCCAAGGGAATTGACTCCAGCAGGAATTGGCTCCAAGTTAATCTGAAGAGTCAACTTTGTTAAATGACGCCTGTACTTTCTAGCAACTCTAGTGACTTTCTAGTGACTCCTGTACTTTCTAGCGCATTGATCTAATTATTTTTTTGTGAATCAAAAGAACAATTTATTACAAAGAGACAGAAAAATGGTAATTTTTGACATTTACAATATGATCTCATCACCATTTTGTCGTGGCATTTCTGGAATTTCTTTTTCTATTGATTCAAGAATATTCAGGAAACCCCGTGAATTGTCATCGTCAAGTCGTGTCCGCATCGGGCGTGCTTGCATGTTCTGTGGACGATCAAAGTCTAAAATCTACTACATAAAAGGACAGTGTCTGTCTGTCGGTACAGCCATTTTCTTGGCCATTTCCTTGGCCCTTTCTTGGCCTTTTCTTGGGCATCTTTTGATCAATAAAGCTAAAACTTCTTTAGAAAATCTTTAATATATTGTAATTGTGACATTTCAAGTAACAAAATTAAAGTCAAGTTTGAGTGGCGATCAATGATCCCCACGAAATACCTTTTATAGCTAGTGGGTCTTCTGTAGAGGTGCCTATTGTCTAACCGATTATCTAATGAAGCCCATTAGCTAACCAGGGAGTCGACCCAGGACCGTGTGGTCCGCAGGGATTTCCGGATCCGGATCCAGATCTCTACGCAAGCATATAAAGAACAAAAAATGATATGAACTGTCTCTTGGATGTTGCGTCGTTGTCTTTTCGTTCTTTTTATGTTTGTGTAGAGATCCGGATCCGGATTCGGACATCACTGGTGGGCCGTAGACAAGCGCGCTCTCGACTGCGCCAAACGATAAACGACCTCGCTCCAAAACATTCAGAAAACTCCAAAAAATCCAGACAAACTCGCGGCCTAGATAAATGGCTTAGCCTTTAAAAGCGAAGCTTCTAATTGGGTATTTTTAGGCAGAATCAAAAGGTCCAGCCTTGGGTTTGCACAGGAGAGTTGAGCAAATCCAAGCCCTGTACTTCATCAGTGGTTTAAATTCTCGATTAACGATCTAGACGAGGTTAACGAGTTGGATCTAGAGCTAGATCTAGAACTAGAGCTAGAGCTAGATCTAGAACTAGAGCTAGAGCTAGATCTAGAGCTAGATCTAGATCGAGAGCTAGAGCTAGATCTAGATCTAGAGCTAGATCTAGATCTAGAGCTAGAGCTAGATCTAGATCTAGAGCTAGAGCTAGATCTAGATCTAGAGCTAGAGCTAGATCTAGCTCTAGATCCAACTCGACTCTTGGACAAGATGAAAGCCTAATGATTCGTATTCTTGAATTGACTTAAAACCTTTCCGAATCACTCACTCGATCCCATATTTCCACCACCGGGCGATCCACTTGGGTCATTGGTCTGGAACCGATCCGGGCTTTGGCCATTGTTGTTGTTGTTATTGTTATTGTTATTGAATCTATCCGAATCTCCATTAGAACTCTCGGATCCTCGGTGAATCTCCGGTCGAATCGGCTCCCCGAATGAGGACTGATCGCTACCAATATGGCTGTAATTTTACTTGTAAACTTTTCTCATTTATCAGCGCTTTAAATGAACCGTTACGGTTAAATGAGCCGTAACGCTTTAAAACCTGGCCCGTAGACAATCAGAGTTGAGTCAGTTTACTTCTAAAATGAAAAAGAAACTCACAACTCCCTTCCCCGTTGATCAGCGACATTGCAGAGATTCTGTGAGCAACAACAGAAAGAAGCGGGTGATCCTTGGAATTGTGTGGTGATGCAGCGATCTTGTGCGAGCTGGGAAATATATTTAATCACTTAGAAT